TGTATGGCAAAGAGGAGGCTGCAAAAGAGAGAATTGTTCAATATTTAGAAGAAAGTAAATTGCCAAAGATTCCAGAGACATTCAAAACTATGTTAGAAGACAGAATAACAATGATGGAGATATTAGAGGCTATAAAACAACAAAAGAACAGGAAAACACCAGCCCAGACAGGCTACTGGCGGAACTTTATAAAAAGCTACAAGATATATTAAGCGAACAGCTGAAAGAGGTTTGCAGTGGACTATTGTTAGAGGCCAAATTCCCAAATACATGGATAGAAGCAAATATTACTTTGATACCAAAAGAAGATTCAGACTTGATGTATATTAAGAACTATAGACCGATTTCATTACTCAATGTGGATTACAAAATTTTTACTTCAATAATGGCAGAGAGACTGAAAAGATACTTAGTTGAGTTTATACATCCAGATCAAAACGGCTTTTTACCGAAGAGACAAATCAAAAATAACTTAAGGGTGATAATGGACGTATTAAAATATTATGAATTACACCCAGGGAAACAATTAGCATTAGTGTTTTTAGACGCTCAAAAAGCATTTGATAATGTCTCTTGGCAATTTATGATTCAACAATTACAAATAATGGATTTTGGAAAGAATTTTATAAATATAATAAAAACAATATATAGTAACCAGACAACAAAAGTGATAGTGAATGGAGAGTATATTGAGAACTTTGAGATAAGAAAAGGCACGAGACAAGGGTGTCCACTATCCCTATTATTATTTATCTTTACTTTGGAAGTATTAAATAGAAGGATAAGACAAGATATAGAAATTAAAGGATTGAAAATAAAAGATGAAACATATAAGTTACAAGCATTTGCCAATGATTTAGTGTTTATTTTGGAAGAACCTTTAGAGATGATTCCTAAATTATGGGAAAAGATAGAAGAATATGGAAAAGTGGCAGGACTAAAAATAAATAAAGATAAAACTAAAACTAAACTAAACTAATAGTAAAGAACCTCACAGATAAACAAAAAAGGCAAATACTAGAGAAAACAGAGGTACAAATAGTGAAAAAAGTTAAATATTTAGGTATTTATCTTTCGGCTAAGTGTTCGTCAATAAAAGAAGACAATTATATAAAATTATTGAAGCAAATAAAGCTAGATTTGGAAAGATGGAAAAATCTCCAATTGTCAATACTAGGAAGAATTGCTACAGTAAAAATGAATGTGTTGCCGAAGATTTTATTTTTATTTCAAACGATTCCGATAAAACTTGAGAGAAAATTCTTTCAAAATTTAAATTCATTGATTTTGAACTTTGTTTGGCAGGGAAAAAAAGCTAGAATTAAGATGAAAACATTATAAGATGCTAAGGAAAATGGAGGTTTTGGGTTACCGGAATGGACAATGTATTATCAAGCATCTGTGTTAACATGGGTGAAAGAGTGGATAACACTCAGAAATAAAAGGTTATTGTATTTAAAGGGACATGATTTACAATTGGGGTGGCATGCTTTTTTATGGTATGGGAAAAACAGAGTTCATAAATACTTTCAAAATCATTTTATAAGAAATGCCTTGTTAACAGTATGGGAAAAAATTAAAGCTAAAATATATTCAAAAATTCCAAGGTGGTTATCAACGATGGAGGCATTCATACATCCGAATCTGGTAGACTTTGAAAAAGTATGGACATATAAAGATATTTTAGGTATTGATGGGAAATTAAAATCTAAACAAGAATTGGAAAATTTAGGAATAAATTTGTCCTGGTGGGCACATTTGCAGATACAAAGTAGATATGAAAAAGATGTAAAAATGAATGGATTTTACAAGGATCAAAATGTGTTTGATAAGATTTTGTTAAGTTCAGATGAGAAATTAATTAAGAAAATGTATAATTTTTTGTTAATTTTAGATATGGAAAGTGAACAAGTGAAAGAAATAATAATAAGATGGGCAAAATTATTTGGTTATGATATAGAATTAGAAAAATGGCAAATGTTATGGGAGAGAAACTATAAATTAACAATTCAACTTCATATAAAGAAAATCTGTATAAAATGTTTTATAGATGGCACCTTCCACCAGCAAGATTAGCAAAAATATTTAAAAATATGTCAGATAGATGTTGGAAATGTAAACATAACATAGGCACGTATTATCATATTTGGTGGACATGTGGGAAGGCAAAGGCCTATTGGAAAAGCATACATATGTGGTTAGAAAAAATATTGGGCAAACAAGTGGATTTTAAACCTGAACTTTTTTTACTAGGCATTATGTCTGAAAAGACTAATAAGCAGAAATTATATTTAATTCTACATATCACCACAGCAGCGAGAATAATTTTTGCACAATACTGGAAGAATGAAGGATTGCCATCAGAGGAAGAAATAATCACGAAAATATTGGAATGTGCAGAGATAGACAGACTAACTATGAGGCTGAAAGACAAAGAAGATATGGACTACTATAAAATTTGGAATTTATTTTATTCTTGGTTAGAGAAAAGAATGAAGGATTAGGAATTGAACATGTATTAGCTTAGCAAACTCCAGACAACTTGTTGATTGGAAAAATTAACATATGTTGATGGAAAAATAATAATAAAAAAGATTATCAAAACAAAAAGAAAAGAAAAAAAGAAAAGAGTTAGCATAAATAAAGGATTTTCATTTTGGGATTGCACCTCTATATTATGATAATATCTAACTGTCCATATAAGAAACAGGTTTTAATTTATTCTTAGATTCATATTAATGTTTCTCAATGGCAGAAATAAGAAACTAATACCAGAAAAGAAGGACAAATTACCTAGCCTGATTTTTAATATATTAATTTCTAGTTTCCTAAGATGGGCATCAAAGAGCGGACACCTTTAATTGGGATAGTTTTTCAGGTTTTCTGAAAAGGATTTTCCTCTTATTGTAAGGTCTACAATGCATCATGGAATTCAATTTCTCTGTAAAGGCTTTCTGTTCTCTATTTTAAAATCCTTCCTTAATCAAATCTTCTTCCTCTCAACTTATTCCAAAATGGTAATCATCTTGTCAGAAATTAAAAGACACTTGCTCCTGGGGAGGAAAGCTATGGCAAATCTAGACAGCATACTAAAAAACAGAGTCATCACCCTGCCAACAAAAGTGCGTATAGTCCAGGCCATGGTTTTCCCAGTTGCAATGTATGGCTGTGAAAGTTGGACCATAAGAAAGGCTGAGCGTCAAAGAATTGAGGCCTTTGAACTATGGTGCTGGAGAAGACTCCTGCGAGTCCCTTGGACTGCAAGGCGTTCAAGCCGGTCAGTCCTAGAAGAGATCAACCCCGACTGCTCTTTAGAAGGCCAGATCCTGAAGTTGAAACTCAAATACTTTGGCCACCTAATGAGAAGGAAGGACTCACTGGAGAAGGGCTTAATGCTAGGAAAGATTGAGGGCAATAGAAGAAGGGGACGACAGAGAATGAGATGGCTGGATGGAGTCACTGAAGCAGTAGGTGTGAACTTAAATGGACTCCAGAAGATGGTAGAGGACAGGAAGACCTGTCCATGGGGTCGCGATGGGTCGGACACGACTTCGCAATTAACAACAACAAAAATCATCTTGTCAGGCATCGCTCCTTTTTTCCTTGTTTGTTTTAATACCTGATTCTCACACCCTAGAGTTAAACTGGGAACCAGATGAGATGTATCATTAATGTTAAGATTGAAAAACTTCACATTTATTGCAAATTTAAAAAATGTGTGGAGAGGGGGTGGGACTCAAAACTGAAATTACATGACAGAAGAATGTTCAGCTTTTTCTCCTTCCCCCCACTTCCCCTTGAGACCCTAGTCATTATTCAACTGCTACAACTGGAGGCTTCCATTAATATCAGTGGAAGGTAGCAAGTTCAAGATTTATTAACCCAAGATAATCAAACAAATAAAGCAAGATTCTTACAGACCTCTCTTCTGTTGCTGAGAAATACATAATAACAAATTATATACTTTATGATGTATATATGTAAGTTTTATGTTAAGACTTCAGCCTGAAGCCATGAAATATTCTTAGTAATATTTCAGAGAGATTAAACCCTTGGAGTGATCTTTATTCTCTTCTGCAGTCTTTAGTTCCCATGGAGATCACTGAACTGTCAGTTGTCTACTGATTTGTCTATACAATCCAGGCTCAGCTTGACCTAAACAGACATGAGCTGCAGCCCCCCAAAACTACTGAACAGATCTCATACATATAACAGGTAAGAGATACAATCTATAATGGCTGCAGGGGGAAAATGTATTTCACAAACCCAGATGAAAATACCCTGAATACCAAATGAAGCCCATTGTCAATTTACCACCATATCATTTTATCAGTAGTATCTCAGATGTGTTTGGAGTTTAAGTCCCCAGTCAAGAGGCAGAAACAGCATTTCTTAAACCCAACAGTTTCAAGACTGATGCATATGAATAGAAATCACTTATTTTTTTAATTTGTATTCAATAAAATGGCTCATTATTTTTAAAACTATAATAATATTTTTATTTCCAAAGATGATAAAATAATTCATAACTAACATGAGTGAGTTGTAGCATTTCCGAGTTCAGACTAAATGCACAATCAGGTATGGGAATTAGTAGCCAAGGTTACCCTAAATGATATGACTTTGATCACAGTTATTTTTTTATTTACAAGAACAAGGAAAATGCAATTTAGTACAGTGAGATATACTTCACCAATAAAAAACAAATGTGGCAAATTGAATTCATGTCCTATTCCACAAGTAGTTTCTGTATCCCTGTAAACAATCCAATATTTTAGTACCCCCCTGGTCTTCAATTTTGTATCAATATAATTGACACCACATTATGTCAGTAGAGTGATGAGACAGCACGAAGACTATTAGTTGATTAATGTAAAGAAAAAAGAAGAAGCTGAATTAATAAAGGCTGTAGACAAGAATTGGACCCTTGTTAGAAAGTGGGTAACCAGTCAGAAGGAGAGAAGAAAGGAGTTGTAATCCATCTGAACAACAGCTGTTACCTTCCATCCTTTGGTGGTTATGGTGGCCCCATTGGGCCACATATCTGTGGCTGGCACAGGTTGGTCGCAACGAAACTTAGGAATAAATGAAGAGCTTCTCTGAAATACCTGAGGAAGTCAGAACATGGAAGGTGGTTGTTTTTTACATACAGAAATCAAAGTAATGTGGATTGCTAATTCTGTTTCAAGAAAGAATACTTATCAAATTAAATCTTAAATGGAACTTTGAAAAAGAGAAGAATTCCAAACCTGGGAATGAGTAAAAATTGCCCATTTCATCTATTTCAATGTAGTTATTTAAAGTATATCTATAGTCAGAGTTTACAAGACATATAATAAGTTATGAGGACTTCATTATGAATTTAAAAACATTTATGCATGACCTTTAGAAAGGAAATATAATAATAAACAATAGCAGATATCCTTTTTATATTACGGAAATTGGTGAATAACATCTTGTTTCTCCAATCTGTAGCTGAAATCCTCTTAGGTTAATGCTCAAATTCTTACAAAGGTCTTAGCCCATCCTTTAAATATTGATTTTAAAATAATGTTTGAGTAGACATGGCAAAAAGTTTATTTCAGGCCCCTTTCAGCATTCAACAAATCTATACTTTTGGCAATTCTACATTTCTTATTTATATCCAATAAAAATGTTCATTAATTCTAAAACTCTTTCAAAAGCCATTAATATTAGTGGATCTGTATTATTATTATTATTTCAATAATATTAATTTCAACAAGTATTTCTACAAATGGCCTATCTAAAATTAAGTCAGATGCTTCTAGAAAATTCTTAGAGAAGAAACAGAGATAAATGTATTCCTTTGTCGAATCCCATATCTTACATTTAGAAAATACATTATTTTTGTACATAAAAAATTTCACTCATTCATCTCTACCAAGGCCCATCAAAGATCCACCTACTATGAATATTTCTAACACTTTCTTTAAAAAAAAATCCTCTAAGATTTGAAACAATCTCTTTTTTTTTTGGTTTTACTTAAATTTCATTTATTCATAGAGCTGAACTGAAGATAAATTCCCCTGATTTATCCTTGCTTTCATCATTCTTCTTATTTCTTATTGTCAAATTTTATGGAATCCTGAATTTTGTCATTATTCTGCAAAAGCAGCTTGTAAAAAATGCATCATATCATATATATTGTCAAAAGAACAGCTAGTGCTAATGGTCATGTGTAGTTAATACATTAGACACAGAAGGTTTGCATATATGCTCACCCCGAAACATGAACTGTTAGAAAGGCCTCATTTCCATGTCTGTACTTGTTACTCATGTGCAAATTACCTAATGTTTTAAAAACTAATATTCAGAATCATCTGAGCAGAATATTTTCTATTATTCAGATAAGCACAAAATTGAACTATTTTTTGCATTCTGTTTTTAGACTCAGATTTAATTCAAGCTGATCTGTATTATATTACTTTACATTATCTCTATTTTCAATGTTGCATTTCAAGTCAATCATATAATAACGAGCACCTGAAAAGATCTTATAAATCTTGGATTTTATAATTCTTATAATTAAACTCTTCTGTAAAATGTAATATCATCTACCCAAATTTCACAACTGGGTATATATCTTGCAGGGCCACCTATGGGAACATAAACTAATAAATATTTGATTTTCAAAAATTCTTTCCAACATAATTACACTGTTCTTCCTTCTTGGTACAGAATGTGGTTTTGCCTTTATTGTGGGGTAGGAATGGGGGTGAAGGTGGGAGGTAGATTATTTCCTGATTTCTTTGCTAAATTAAAACCTATGACAGATACATAGTTTTTAAATGAAGTGAACAGCATTATCTGACAATAACTTACATACATCTGTTAAACAGTCCCTTCCCTGAATGCATCACTACTGGATGGTAAAGATTTTATTAGGCAGATGACACAGGAAATACTTTGGAATTTATTTTATTAGGACTAGGTTATATAACTGTAGTGGATCCTGGATAAGCATTTGTTCAAATTTGGGGGGTTTTTTGCATATATTTTTGTAAAAAAGAAGTAATGGTTAGTTAAATCCCTAGAAAAGGAAGTTAAACAACCATTAACCTATCATATATATCCAATGAATATTTTAGGTCTATCTATGGATTTGATAAATAGGGTTCCAGTAAGCTTTGTGCTTCTGAAATAGAACTATTAATATTGTACCAAATCTCTCTTCTGTGAAAAGGGGACAAATTCAGTAAACTATTGAGTTTCAGCTTAAAAAAAAAACTATGCACTAACATAATATAGTGTTTGCTAATATCAGACTCTAGAGCAGCATCATTAAAATATTGTTTTGAATTATACAGTTCTACCAATAAAGACAGTTTTTTTCTATATCATGTAAGGTACCAATTGCAAATTAACATCACTGTCTGCTCTTTCATTTCAAAAAATTGCCTGGAATAAATCTATGAAACTGGGAAAACTTTCAGGACCTGCAGGTTTTCAATTGTATGGCTCAAAAAGTGTTTCAGGTTATGATGTTTTATTTTATTCTTTACTCTGAAAAAAATGCTAGCATTTTATATATTGGATGATTTATATTATATTATATTATATTATATTATATTATATTATAATTTAATATTTTTATTTAATATTATTATATTATATTATATTATTATTTAATATTATTATATTATGATTTGCAGTAATGGATTTCTGATCTGTGCTTTTTGTCAACATCTGGATTAATTTTTTTATTCAAAAAAGGAAGGAAGAGTACTTTTAATAGTTTAATAATTTGTTTAAAGTTCTTTTATTTATGATATATTTTCCAGACATTCTCATCATCTTCTAAAATTTATCTTAAAATAACTATATTAGTTGCATGAGTGCAATTTTGCTAGTTTGATGTAATGATGTAGTATATACATAAATTTGAATTCTATAAAATCTTTTATAAATATTTATATTGACATTATGAAATTATACAAAAATCTACACAATGCTTGTTGAGACGCATTCTCAAACTAGTTCAGAGGATTTTTGACAACAGAGATACAACTGAAAATATCAGTTGTATCTTGTCTTCGGTTATATACTCTAGTGAACTATATTAGTATATAAACTGGCTTTAGGTTGATAATGGAAAAATCAGCAAAGTACTCATTGCTTGATCAATATGGACACTTTATTGAAGCTTTTCCTAACCTCATGTCCTCCAGATGTGTTGGAAATCCAGTCTTATTTTCATCAATTCTATACAGTCACTGCCATGGGGGAGTTGAAGAGCAACATATTGTAAGGCAGGGGTCTACAACCCCCCAGGCCGTGGCCCACTTCTGGGTTGTGGTCTGTTCGAAACCAGGCCGTAGGAGAGATGGGCAAGCATGTGTGTGTGAAGCTACACTTGTGCAAGCAGAGAGCACTTATGCTTGCATGAGTGGAGCTTCATGAGCAAGCGCAAGTGCTCTCTGCTCTTGCATGAGTAAGACTTTGCACATGAGCGCAAGTGACTGCCGCTGGCATGCGAAGCTCCACTTGTGTCTGCTGCTCGCACAAATGGAGCTGTGCGTGCACACATGTGCCTACCACACACACAGCCCTGCACTGGGTCACCAGGTTGCAAAGTTGGGGATTGCTGCTTTAAGGCACCAGGCTGAGAAAGTCTGTCTTATTGTATAATGATATCATAACAGACTTATATAATGTTTTACAACATATGTCAATGGTGAAATGTATCAGTCAGTCAGTCAGTTTATTACAGTCTTAGACCAGCACAAGCAATGTATTCATGAATGTCTGTGGTTACCCATAAACCTATCTGTATTAATAAACGTATTAATAAAACTTAGTTGAGATATCTGATATAATCTGGAAAATGTAGTTGTAAGAATGAACAAATATTTGAAACTGCAGGACAGAAATACTGGAGGGGGAAATTTGGAAGATTACAATAAAATGCTCTTCTGCATCTGTGTTCCAAATCAATAAATTGTAGTTACAGAGAATTTGCGTTAATATAATGTACAAACCAGACCACACACTAGCACAGCAGTTCTCAACCTTTTTATACGGTGACCCCCGGTCACACGGATGCGGTGTGCATGCGCGGTGCCAGCCCCATGCGTGGCGCGCATGCGCAGCGGCGCCCCCATGCACGGCGCGCATGCGCGGCGTGGCCCCATGCACGGTACCGGCCCCATGTGTGGCGCGCATGTGCAGCGCCAGCCCCTGAGGGGGGAAATGGCGGATCGCGTTGTTTGGCGACCCCCATAAAATGGTCGTTTGACCCCAAATGGGGTCGCGACCCATAGGTTGAGAACCGCTGCACTAGCATGTCACATGTAGTGAACTGGCTCTTATTATCCAGTTCTTATTGCCTGGTGACATAAATATAGGCAGATTCAATAAACACTTATGAAATATTGCTACAATAGCAACTTTAATAAATAATAAAATAATAACAACCAGATAATTGCTAAATAGAGGTTGTTTTGAGCTTGTTCCAAAGCATGAAGATTTGGGAGTCTTGTACATGGTCAAAGATTCAACAGTTAAAGAATAGAATCTCTAGCAATCAGACTATATTTAGTTGAAGCATACATATTTGCTGAGATTAAGTCGTAAAACTATCAGCATAATGAATTTCTCCTGTGCAGATTTCCAGACTGGTGAGATTTTTCTCTGAATTTGTTGAAGTTTTAAAATTGTTTCTTCGCAAAACTATAGAACTTCAGACATTACTTTTAGTCTAATGCCCTTCCCATCCTACCTCAAGTTCAGCAATGATCCTATCCTCCTCATCGTCGTCTTTGATGGCAGAAGCAATGATGGGGGGTGTTGAAGCAGGCCTGGCAACCTCTGATACAGTTCTTCTCAGTTTCACTTGAGGCTTCTGGGTCTCCAGCTCTTCTGATTCAGCTTTCTGATATCATAAAAGCAAAAAGAAAAATGATAAATGGAAGGATAAGAGAAAAAGCTAAACCACTGGATCCTCTTTGGTTTTACTGGTCTGTATTTCTTCATTAGAAAAAAGGTCTTTGTACCTTCATGAAGCCAGATTCTTTTTTGCTGGTGATGATCACCTCTCCTGTGCGGGTAGTTGTAAGCCCATGAGAAGATGGGAAGCTTCGCCGTGGTGGGGGAGGAGGGGGAGACTTGGAGGGTTTCTCTGTACGATATCTTGGCACCGTCAGCTCATCTACAATGATAATGTTGTTAATATGAATTGTGCAGAGTATATGCCATAGCTAATAGTTAGTCGGACCATTTTTTAAATGAACAATTTAAAACTTAGAGAAACTTTGAAGGTGACAATTTGGAACATCTTTTAAAAATGGAAAAAGGATACGTTCTCTTTCCCCTTCCCCTTAAGTTTCCCTCTAATTTCCCTTTAGTTTTTGAGGGGTAGAGGAATATGCAATCCCTCCCTGCAAAAAATTAAAATAAAGCCTTTCCCCAAATCCCAAATAACTAAGCCATCTATATATGGATTTCTTTTCTGACAAATTATCTAAGGCTGCCAATGTTATAACAATGATACTAGAACATGAGATAAATCAGCTCAGGTTACACTTTCCTCATAATTAAATCTGCAACATGTTTTCCTGTTGCTGGTAAATAAAGTACTGGTTGAAAATAAATTATTTCTCAAAGGACGTTCTAAGTTTTTCCTCAGGTATTATAGATAGGCCCTCACACATGCTAACCTATATTTGTAAATGTGTTGTTACTATATAAACCTTAATTCAATTTTCCACAATTGTTCTCTATGCTGAATTTCTCATATTGTCCCTAAAACAATTAGCAGAAAGGCATTTGTGTTTCTTGTAATTTTCCACTGTTTGTCTCTGTCTCTCTTTTGGTTGTGATTTGGTTTCCATTTTAAATAACATTATTTTTTCAGTAGTAGTATGTGAAAAAGCAAGACTGGAGCATGAGTTCAAGGAACTATTTCTTTTCTCTAGAAAATATGCTTCCAATGGAGTGATTTTTATTAGGATGGCACTCCAGGAAGCCACGAGTCAAAACCCTCTCCTCATGTGTCACAATCCTGCTTGATCCTCTTCTTACAAGCTCTAATCAATTTTGTGCCTGCCTTACCTGATCCCCGGCGACCATTGGGGTCCATTTTGGTTGTAGTCTTTTGTGCATGCTGGGGTTTGGTAGGTTTGTGCTCCGGAGTGGAGGCAACACTTCCACTGCCACCACTGCTGGAAGACTGCTTGTGCTTGGCTGCAAACTCCAAATCAGGGATGGCTTTCATCAGCTCAGCTTGGGTCTCTTCCAGAAGCCGGTTAATATCTTTAGCACTGTACTGAGTCAAGGCTGCACGTTTTTCCTCCCAGTCTCGTTCTGCAGCCTGTAAAGTAGGCTTGTATTAACTACAATGAGGCTTCTCTACAGTACTGTGCAGTAGGGATCTATATTATGTGGCCCATTCTATAGACAAATTCTGGATTTCCAAGAAGTGCTGAGGGTGGGTGGGTGAGAAAATAGGACAATGAATAAAGAACCCTGTTTTTTTTAAAGAAATGACTGAAGAAAGAAGAATTATACTTTCCATTCTTGCTATTCAGCAGTTATCAAGGTCAATCTATCCACTGATATGATTGCTTTGTCTCTCAGCACAACTTATATAATACTGTGCTTGTGACAGTAAAATTTCTAATAGTGATTGGCTGGAATGGATTTTTTGCATGCTACCTTACTTGCCAGGGAACAACATAACAGAGTGTTTGCAATCCTGAATTTGTGAGCGGAAAAATTGTCAGTTTGATTGGAATGAAAAATTATCTTGGGTAGTAAGAACAGAGATAGCTTATTTATGAACCAAACTGGGGGCTGGGAAGTGCTATCATAAGGTAGGGAATTAAAATCATCATGACACTGGAATATTTCAGGAAAATTGCTAACACATACATATCAATTGAGCTGGGAAAATGTTAGTTGCAGAAATAGTTAAGATTCTCTCCTCTTTCTATTTATGCATTCCAAACCATCCTGCTCACAATGGTTATTTAAGGGGAAAAAAATCATTGAGTTGGTACCAAAAAATGGCATATATTTTACTATATATTTATATAGGAAGTCCTGTCAACGTTTTCCATATGTGTTGCGTCCTTCGCGAAATGGCAAGATACGAGAAGCAGTTGTAGTTCTCAGGAAACTTCTTTATTTCAGTTCAGCATACTAGGTACAAGACGCCGACGACGCCCAGAACTCCCGGCCTCTTTTATAGGCCATTCCTGGGTCAATCTGCAACTTTTGGCACGCCAGCACTTGCGCATGCGCACAAGTACTGGCGACAGCCTGTCTGGTCCCGGGCAGCTTGCACCTACCCGGGACTGCCTGCAATGCCCCGAGCCTGCTTGCACAGGCTCAGGACATAACACCCCTTCCCCCCGGGTTAAGACTATTGATCATGTCATACTAACACAGAACCCATTGCGAGTGTAGTGCCATACTACCTTAAACCAAACATTTCTTTTGCTTCCATCAATCTCAGTGTTCTATTTCCTCTGTATACAGGAATGTTCTCTGCTAACTCTGTTTTGCCAATAGAGTTACAAAATCCTCTAAATACTTAGGGGATCTTCTGGCTCTCTGTGACCTCCTAACCTCTGGGTACCTGCCAAGTACCCCTTGACTGAGGGGTGGATGTGTATCTGTCCCCCTTATTACACCTTGGTGGTTCCCAAGGACTGTGCTCCAATGCCTGGCCTGCTTGCTTGCCCATCGGGCTCGTCAGGCCAGGGCTTCTTTCCTTGTTTGACCTGGTTGTCCTGCCTAGCTGCAGGCTCTCTGGCCCCTCTAAGTGACTGTCACTGTTGGGCGATTTTGTAGAACCTCCAAGGTCCATCCAAGACCTGTCAGGAGGTTGTCTGTCCCCTGGTTCCTGTTCTGTCCCCGGGCTTGTGGGGTTTTCAGTGCTGTCCCAAAACTCAGTTGTCCCCTGAGTGAAGTCAGAGGTGTTGTAGTCGGGATTTGGTTCCTCGACCACCTCCCTGTATGTTTGCCCCCTTCTAGGGACAGGGGTAGTGTCAGGCCAACTAGAAGGAGTGTGTGCCAGCTCTCTTGCGGGGAGTGGTTTATTGGGATGCTCCCGGGTATCCTCCCTGACTGGAGTAAGCGTTGATGCCTGATATCTAGTTGAGTTCCTTGAATTCCTGTTTGGAGCACTCGCGGAATCTTGGGATAAGCTGTCTGTAGCTTCTCATTACTGATGGGCAGCAGCCCATACCCTTCCCTTTGCCCAAAGGGGTCCCCCTCCCCCCCTGGAGAAGACCCAGGAGTCTCAGTGGGAAGGTCCCATCTAGGGCGAAGCTGGTCGATGTGTCGACGCAGGACACGACCGTTGTCCAGGGACACCTCATAAGACAGAGGACCTGTGACCCTGGATATAGCAGCGGGGACCCATGAATGACCAGGCCCATAATTGCGAGTCCAAACTGGGGCACCCACAAGTAGTTGTCTAGGTGCCCTGGGGTGTGTGAAAGAAGAAGGCAGTCTGTCCGGATGCAACCGGTCAAGCTTGGTAGTCAGTTTGTGCCCCCAATGAAGTTCAGCTGGGCTCCTCCCGGTAGAAGTGGAAGGTGTAGTGCGATAAGAAAGGAGGAAGTCAGCCAACCTGTGATGCCAGTCTCCATAGGTAATTTTCTTCAAGGCGTCCTTGGTGATGCAAACCATGCGTTCAGCCATATCATTGGTGGACGGGTGGAAAGGTGCAGAAGTGGCATGACGAATCATGTTAGCCTGTAAGAAAGCTTGGAATTCGGAAGAAGTGAATTGAGGGCCATTGTCAGACACGAGGACGTCTGGAAGCCCGTGTGCAGCAAAAATCCCCCTCAGTACTTGAATAGTCTTTGCAGCGGTGGTGGAAGAGACAGGTACAACCTCAAGCCATTTTGAATGGCTGTCAACTAGGACCAAGAAGAATTGATCCTGAAAGGGCCCAGCGTAGTCAATGTGCACCCTAGACCATGGAGACTGTGTTTCCTCCCATCTATGTACAGGAGCTTGGGGCATTTCGGGGCGCGAACATTGGCAAAGGTGGCATGCATGCACCTTAGCTTCAATGTCTCTATCTAACCCAGGCCACCACAAATGGCTGCGCGCAAGCGCCTTCATGCGTACAATGCCAGGATGACCCTCATGGAGGGAACCTAAGACCCTAGTCCTCATTGAGGTAGGGATGACAACTCTGCTTCCCCAAAGCAGACAACCCTGGAAGATGGACAACTCGTTCCTTTTAGACCAGAAACTCTGAAACTCAGTGCCAGGACAGCTCTCTGGCCATCCAGATAAAACCCAAGAAAGGACACGTGAAAGTGTGTGGTCTGTGCCTGATTCAGCGGCTACATCCCTGGCATTTAAAGGAGACTCGGGCAAGGCCTGAATGGAGAGGAGATTGGTAGCTGGTGCAGGGTCAGCTTCTATTACCGGCAGGGGTAACCTACTGAGGCCATCAGCATGGCCCATTTCCTTCCCAGGTTTGTGAATTAGGGAGAAATCATAGGCAGAAAGAAAGATAGACCATCTTAGCATTCTGGGGGAGATGATTTGGGGAGTTTGCTTACATGTGGTAAACAGTCCCAATAAAGGCTTATGGTCAGTGAAGACCGTAAAATGCCTGCCATATAAAAAATCATGGAATTTTTTAATTCCAGCAACAACAGCTAAAGCCTCCCTGTCTATTTGAGCATAATTACGCTCGGCAGAAGACAAGGTTTTGGAGTAATATGCAACAGGAACCTGAGTTCCATCTGACCTGAGGTGGCTTAGTACAGCTCCAACCCCATAAGGAGAAGCATCACAAGCGATGCACACAGGAAGGGATTCATTGAAATGTGCAAGTACACTGTTAGAAGTGAGTAAGGCCCTGACCTCATTGAAACTTGCTTCATGTTTTTGTGACCACTGCCACACTGCCTGTTTGTCCAATAGCCTGTGAAGAGGCTCAGCTATACTAGCCTTATGTGGAAGAAAGGAATTGTAGAAATTCAGAAGGCCCAGAAAAGCCTGTAGTTCAGCCTTAGACTTTGGCCTAGGAGCATGCATAATAGCTTTCAGTTTGGATTCAGCAGGGTGAATCCCAGTAGCATCAATTTTGAATCCCAGAAAATCAGTAGAAGACACCCCAATTTTACATTTGTCCTTCTTAAGCTTGAGGCCCGTTTTCCTGAACCTTAACAGGACAGCCCTTAATCTTTCAGCTAGATTGTGTGTAGAGTCTCCTTCAATTAAGACATCATCAAAATAGGGGCAAACCCCTGGTATACCCCGTAGTGTGTTTTCCATTACGCTTTGGAAAATTCCAGGAGCGACATTTACTCCAAATTGTAGCCTCTTCACCTTGAATGCTCCTCTATGGGTCACAGTGGTCTGAGCTACAGCAGCATCATCATCAACAGGCAGCTGTTGATACGCCTGAGCTAGGTCAAGCTTTGCAAAAACATGCCCCCCCTTGAGGGAGGCCAGAATATGACTGACCACAGGAACAGGATAGGCATGTTGCTGCAATGCCTTATTCAGAGTGCATTTGTAATCAGCACAGATGCGAATGTCCCCATTTGCCTTGAGAGGCGTGACAATGGGGGTTTCCCAGGGACTGGAGTCAACAGGTTCTAGAACTCCTTGCTGAATCAGTTTGTCCAACTCAGTGTCAATTTTATCTTTTAAAGCAAAAGGGACCCTTCTTGCTTTAATTCTAATGGGAGTGACAGTGGGGTCTAGCTTTAATGACACAGGGGGTCCTTTGTATGTGCCCAGCTGGGGGCTGAAAACATCTGCAAATTCTTTGCAGACTTCTTGTAGGTCAAGTGTTTGCAGACTATTGAGCCCTGTGACGTGTATTCCCAAGGCCTCAAACCAATCGAGTCCTATGAGACTCGTTCGTTCACCCCCTACTACTATTAGATCTAGTGGACCTTCAAAATCCTTATACTGTACGTTAAGGGTGGCCTCCCCCTTAACACACACTCTGGAGTTTTGAAAGTCTGTTAACACAATGTCAGAAGGCCTCAGCTTGGCCTGAGTTCCGCTACCAGAACAAATCTTCCTGAACGTTTGCATGGAAGTGATCGAAAGTGCAGACCCTGTATCCAGTTCCATAGCCAATGGAACCCCTTGTAGCTTCACCTTAAGTGACAGCTTTTTCTTAATGGGCTTGTGTGTGCCTGTCCTATAGATGCTTCTTCGCGAAGCGCAAAACCCCACTCTGTTTTGGCTGGGAACCCTGGTACCTTTTAGGCGCAATTCCTCCTGAGGTTGTACCTTCTGACGGCCCAGGCACACAGCTGCAATGTGTCCTTGTTTTCCGCATGCTCTGCAGATAGCGGAGCGGAACTTGCAGTCGGTTCTCTTGTGGCGACCTCCACAACCAAGACACATGGGGAGAGCTGAAGAGCTTCCTTTCTGTTTCCCTTCCTTCGTGGGGTAGAAACGGTCCACTTCATCGTCAGGATCCTCCTCAGAGTTCCTTTGGACTCCTTCCTGGTGCACGGACGCCGTATCTGGAGTGCTTCTGATCGGCCGCATGTTCTTGATGGCGCCACCCACTGCTTCTTCTGCAGTGACCTCTCTCAAGGCATCTTGGAATGATAAGTCTTCTTTGGTAAAAAGTCTATGCTGTAACTCTCTATGCCTTAGTCCGCATACAAATCTGTCTCTCAGTCGTTCTTCGAGGTCCTTGAACTCGCAGTGTTTAGTGGCTTTTCTCAGCGCGGCAATGTATTCTTTGGCTGATTCTCCGGGTCGTTGATCCCTCTGTTAGAAGGTGTGGCGCCATGCGATGACGGACAACTTGGGCTGGAAGTGCTCCTTTAGTAGCTTTTTTAGATCTGCGTAGCTGACAGAGTCTAGAGGAACAGGTGCTGCAATGTTCTCAGTGATTTCGAATGCGTCTTGACCGCAAACGCACAGCAGGGTGGCAGCCTTTAAACTATCTTCCCTTACTTGATTTACCTTGAGATAGGTTTCCACCCTGGCTGCGTAGGACTCCCACCTCTCTGGATGTGAGACGTTGAATTCCGAAAGCCTTCCAATTTTTGCCATTTTGTAGAAAGGAAGGGTCTATCAGCCAGCCTACCCCCGATGCTTGCTGGATTGGCGGGTAGCTGCCGAGTCAACGCCGTTCCTGCCGCTCAGGACTCACTCGGGTAAGCTTACACCTTTCTTCTGTTGATGTAAGGCATCCCACCTTCGTCGCCAGTGTTGCGTCCTTCGCGAAATGGCAAGACACGAGAAGCAGTTGTAGTTCTCAGGAAACTTCTTTATTTCAGTTCAGCATACTAGGTACAAGACGCCGACGACGCCCAGAACTCCCGGCCTCTTTTATAGGCCATTCCTGGGTCAATCTGCAACTTTTGGCGCACCAGCACTTGCGCATGCGCACAAGTACTGGCGACAGCCTGTCTGGTCCCGGGCAGCTTGCACCTGCCCGGGACCGCCTGCAATGCCCCGAGCCTGCTTGCACAGGCTCAGGACATAACAGTATGGGTCAATGATGATGATGACTAGGCATATTTCAATCCATGATGAGAACAGATTGAAATAGAGCTGATTATTGTGAAGTTTACAGAATGATATATTCCTGCATTATTATTTATTGTATATGAAGTTAATTCTGGAAAAATACTTTTATAGTTCCTGTGAAGCCGGTGGGAAGGGGGAGTTGCCTGAAAAAAGTGCTGTTTGATTAAACCTCTAGGAATTATGGAAGAAAATAGTTTCTTTACAAAGATTTTTTAAAATTGAGCCAGTGAAGTCCATCAGGCTTGGGATACACAATTCTTCTTTGTATATACACATATATACACTATATATGTACATATGGAATGCCTAACCTTATATAGTGTGTGTCCCAATTTTGTGAATTTAATGTATAATTTTTCTGTTTCTTAATATTGCAGTTTTAGATGAAAGGAGGAATGAAAAATAGAGGAGTATAAATGGAAGCTATATTTGTCTGACTCTGCAGTAAAAAATCTACATGGAAGAAAGAGAAGGTGGAAGAACTTGGGGCTAAGAATGTGGAAATGTTGCCAGTGGTTGTAAACCATTTGCTGCTGGAATAGCTTTTCTCAACTCAGTTGCAGTTTTTATTATTCCTTCCTTTACACATCCAAATATTTTGGGCTGGTTTTGGAAATCCAGATCTGTCTAAGGGCTATCTATTGTCAAAGGACAATGCAAATTCAACAACAACGCAAATTCAGGAAATTCTTCTTTTTTGTGTTGAAAGAATATAAATTGCACTCACCTCTATGGACACTGATCTGTCCATACTTTTTTTGCTGGGAGTCTCAGAGCCTGTTTGGGGCTTGGCAACAATCATTTCGGAGCCCCGGGATGGATTGCTACTTTTGGATATGTGGCTCTGCCCTTGGCTTTGTCCAAAGCTGATTGTGCCTAGGCTATCAGTGGAAGAAGTTAGGTCATGGAGGTTCGTCGGAGGGCTGGTGGGAAGCTCAAAATCCAGACTTCTGCTGAAGTCACTTTCCAGCTCTACCTTCTTTGGAGATTGGCTGAGAAGGTTACTGGAGGAATCCCAGACACCTTCATCTACTTGCCTACCAGGAAAAGGGCAAGAAGAGTTAAAAGTTGGTTAGGAATTTCAGAAAGAAGCTTTCAGGTACAGCAATATACTAAAATGACTCTTCTCATGTATTGTAGTTTGTCTGCCTGGAGGGGCCATTTTTGAAGCTGCATGCATGTATGCATGAATAACAGCATTAACAGAATAATGACTGGTGTCTGGAATCAGTGAGAACAAGAGAAGCTGGACCATCAGGAAGAAGCAAACATGGGTGGATTGTAATAGGGATGATGATGGTAATAGAACCCCAGCCAGTGATAAGAGGGCCTGGGGTCAAAATGCAAGTGCTAAAAATAAGTCTTCCAATCATACAGTCCAGAGAATGGGCCACAGATACCCAATAGATTTCCATTTGCAAAATAAGTACATCTGGCCCCAGTCAAGATACAAGGGACAGAAATGCAACACTTAAATTGTATACTGGTACATTTGCAAGAGAGCTAAGGGCATCTATTAGGAATGCTGATACCCCAGCCTATCAGATCCCAAGGGCTTCTTCTTAGTCAGGAAGGGTTCACTCACTTGCGGATTTCTGTCAGGGTGTCAGTCACTGCTTTGCACCGCTTGAATAGGCCATCTAGGCGATGTGGCTCTTCTTTGAGGAACTTCACAGCCTCTACCTCTACACGGAGAACCACACGCATTTTGCTTTGCAGGCTGGGAAAATTAGCTGCAATGCCAGGAATGGATAGAGAAGGAAAGGAGAGGCATGGGAGTCAGAGCAGGCTGAAAGGAGGTTTTTATCTGAAAGTAAAGGGACTCATGGAGCCAAGTAGGGAAGCAGGAGGACTGGCTGGTAAGGTGCGGATAAATGAGAAATGGGGCTTTTCCTGGTTGTTGCTTGGCAGAGATGAAACAGCATTGACCCTCTGTCTAAACACTCATCTCAACATCTTTCATCTCCTGAGAGTAGTCAATTTTAGCCAAATAAATTCTAGTGTATTTTGAGGAATGAGGGGCATGAAGAAGGACTGAAAAGTCATAACTGTTCTGGTGATGGAAGTATATATATATATATAGGTCTTTGGTTGTTCGGGTTTTCTCCCGCGTAAAATTGGAAGTGTCTTGGCGACGTTTCGACGAAGTCCCATTCGTCATCTTCAGGCTGGTGCTTTCAGCTTTGTGCTTCGAGGAGCAATGTGTGGTCTTAGCTGTTTCTTCCTTTTAACTGCCAGTGGGGGTATGAACTGATTGGGTGGGAGCTTGGCTGTGTTCTGATTGGGTGGAGGTGTGTTCTGATTGGTTAGGGGCGTGGCTGTGCTCTGATTGTGCTGGGGGGGTTGGCTGTGCTCTGATTGGCTGGGGGAGTGTTCTGTTTGGTTGTGCTCAGGTTAGTCTGAGTTGCAGAGGGGTTTAAGATTTTGGGCTGCCTTGCTATTTTTTGGCTTCGCGTTTGTGGTCGTGCCTCATTCTTCATGGAGGGTGTCAGTTTGCTTCATGTATGGATTGGAGGGGTTTAAAGTGGCTAATGATGCAGCTGTGGTCTGGCTTCTGGTTTGTGGTCGTGCCTCATCATCGGTGTGGCTTTGGGTTTGCTTTTTGCGTGGATGTGTGGTGGTGACATCCTGTGTGGTTTTTGTGAGTGTGGGTCTGGTATCATTTTTTGTGTTAGGGAGTCGTTTGTCAATAAGGGCGGGTTTCCAAATGGCTGGTAGGCGGGAGGTATCATCTCGCTTGTTCATGCTGTGTGGGCGTTTTTCTATCTCGATGGCTTCTCTGATTATTCTGTTATTAAAATGTTCACTTTTGGCAATGGTTCTGGTATTTTTAAAGTCAATTTCATGTCCTGTGGCTTTAAGGTGTTGGACCAGGGAAGATGTTGGTTCCTCTTTTTTGACTGAGTTCTTATGTTCTTCAATGCGTGCACTTATTCTTCTGTTGGTTTGTCCGATGTATGTGTTGGGACAAGCAGTGCATGGGATTTCATATACTCCTTGATTTTCTAAGTCAATTTTATCTTTGGGGTTTCTAAGGATGGTGGATATTTTTCTGTTTGTGCAGAATGCTGTTTTGATGTTGTGTTTATGGAGGATCTTACTGATTCTGTCTGTGGTGCCTTTTATGTATGGGAGGAGGGCTTTGCCGTTTTCTTGTTCTTTGTCTTGGATTTTAGTGGGGGTTTCTTTTTGGATTAGGTTTGTAATCTTATTTCTTTGGAATCCATTGGATGTTAGTACATTGGTGAGAGTGTGTAGTTCGGTTTTTAGGTGTTGTTCATCAGCTAAGCGTTTTGTTCTGGAGATGAGTGTCTTGGCTACGGAATTGATCTGTGCTGGGTGGTGGTGTGAGAGAGCGTGCAGATAGCGGTTTGTGTGTGTTTTCTTCTGGTAGATGGTGTGTCCTAGGGAACCATTAGATTTCTTGTAGACTAAGACATCCAGGAAGGGAAGTTGGTTGTCAGCTTCTGTTTCCATGGTGAACTGTATTTTGGGGTGTAGGCTGTTGAGGTGTGTGAGGAAGTTGTCCAGTTTTTCTTTCCCATATGGCCAGATTATGAAGGTGTTGTCTACGTATCTGAGCCAGAGTTTGGGTTTGTGATCCGATTTTTCTAGAGCTTGGGTTTCAAAGTGTTCCATGTAGAGGTTGGCAATGACAGGTGAGAGGGGTGATCCCATGGGTGCTCCTTCTGTTTGTTTGTATTTTTGTCCATTATAGATGAAGTATGTGTTGGATAGGCAGTGGTTGGTCAGATCTAAGATGTGTTTGGGGGGTTATATTTGTTTTGGATAGCTGTCAAGGCTTCTTTAATAGGCACTTGGGTGAAGAGGGATATGACATCGAAGCTCACGAGTAGGTCGCTGGGCTGTAAGTTTTGTTTCTTTATGATTTCTATAAACTGGAATTAGTTTTTTACGTGTGAGGTGATGGATTCTGCATAGGGCTGTTTCTTCATAAAGAAACAAAACTTACAGCCCAGCGACCTACTAGTGAGCTTCTCACTATCAGATAGGATCCTCACCAAAGCCGAAACCAATGTCCTTTCCAAAGGATTCAACTTTGCAGTCGCTCCCAAACACATCCCCACTGAAACCATTATATGTGGAGTTGAAACCAGCCTGACTAAAATCAACCCCGACGACGCCAACAGAATCAGACTCGAAATCACCAACATCCTCTGCACCAGCAAGCCACCCAAAAGCAACTTACCCAAAGAGGAACAGACAGCACTACGTAACCTGAAAGAAGACACCAGCATAATAATCCTACCAGCAGACAAGGGCAACGCCACGGTGGTTATGAACACATCTGACTACCAAACCAAATTAACCAACCTACTCCAAGACTCCACATACAAACCCCTAAATACAGATCCCACCACCTACCTGGAAAAAACCACCAGATCCAAAATAAAAGCCTCCCCCATTAGCGAAGAGATCCAGCAAAGAATCATTCCCAGAGAGAAATCATCCAGATGCCCCAAACTCTATGGTCTCCCCAAGATACACAAAGGAAGGAACCCCACTCAGACCTATAGTCAGCTCCATAGGCTCACCTCTACAAAACCTAGCCAAATTTCTCGCCAAACAACTACAGCCCTATGCAGAATCCATCACCTCACACGTAAAAAACTCATTCCAGTTTATAGAGATCATAAAGAAACAAAACTTACAGCCCAGCGACCTACTAGTGAGCTTCGATGTCATATCCCTCTTCACCCAAGTGCCTATCAAAGAAGCCTTGACAGCTATTCAAAACAAATATAACCCCCCCAAACACATCTTAGATCTGACCAACCACTGCCTATCCAACACATACTTCATCTATAACGGACAAAAATACAAACAAACAGAAGGAGCACCCATGGGATCACCCCTCTCACCTGTCATTGCCAACCTCTACATGGAACACTTTGAAACCCAAGCTCTAGAAAAATCGGATCACAAACCCAAACTCTGGCTCAGATACGTAGACGACACCTTCATAATCTGGCCACATGGGAAAGAAAAACTGGACAACTTCCTCACACACCTCAACAGCCTACACCCCAAAATACAGTTCACCATGGAAACAGAAGCTAACAACCAACTTCCCTTCCTGGATGTCTTAGTCTACAAGAAATCCAATGGCTCCCTAGGACACACCATCTACCAGAAGAAAACACACACAAACCGCTATCTGCACGCTCTCTCACACCACCACCCAGCACAGATCAACTCTGTAGCCAAGACACTCATCTCCAGAACAAAACGCTTAGCTGACGAACAACACCTAAAACCCGAACTACACACTCTCACCAATGTACTAACATCCAATGGATTCCATAGAAATAAGATTACAAACCTAATCCAAAAAGAAACCCCCACTAAAATCCAAGACAAAGAACAAGAAAACGGCAAAGCCCTCCTCCCATACATAAAAGGCACCACAGACAGAATCAGTAAGATCCTCCATAAACACAACATCAAAACAGCATTCTGCACAAACAGAAAAATATCCACCATCCTTAGAAACCCCAAAGATAAAATTGAATTAGAAAATCAAGGAGTATACGAAATCCCATGCACCACTTGTCCCACCACATACATCGGACAAACCAACAGAAGAATAAGTGCACGCATTGAAGAACATAAGAACTCAGTCAAAAAAGAGGAACCAACATCTTCCCTGGTCCAACACCTTAAAGCTACAGGACATGAAATTGACTTTAAAAATACCAGAACCATTGCCAAAAGTGAACATTTTAATAACAGAATAATCAGAGAAGCCATTGAGATAGAAAAACGCCCACACAGCATGAACAAGCGAGATGATACCTCCCGCCTACCAGCCATTTGGAAACCCGCCCTCATTGACAAACGACTCCCTAACACAAAAAATGATACCAGACCCACACTCACAAAAACCACACAGGATGTCACCACCAAACATCCACGCAAAAAACAAACCCAAAGCCACACTGACTATGAGGCACGACCACAAACCAGAAGCCAGACCACAGCTGCATCATTAGCCACTTTAAACCCCCCCAATCCATACATGAAGCAAACTGACACCCTCCATGAAGAGGAAGCACGACCACGAACGCGAAGCCAAGGAATGGCAGGGCAGCCCAAAATCTTGAATCCCTCTGCAACTCAGACTAACCTGAGCACAACCAAACAGAACACTCCCCCAGCCAATCAGAGCACAGCCAACCCCCCAGCCAATCAGAGCACAGCCAACCCCCCAGCCAATCAGAGCACAGCCAAGCCCCTAACCAATCAGAACACACCTCCACCCAATCAGAACACAGCCAAGCTCCCACCCAATCAGTTCATACCTCCACTGGCAGTTAAAAGGAAGAAACAGCCAAGACCACACACTGCTGCTCGAGGCACGAAGCTGAAAGCACCAGCCTGAAGATGACGAATGGGACTTCGTCGAAACGTCGCCAAGACACTTCCAATTTTACGTGGGAGAAAACCCGAACAACCAAAGACCTACATACAAATACCCGCGAAAACCTCAGAAAACATATATATATATATATATATATATATATATATATATATATATATATATATATATATATATATATATGTTTTCTGAGAACTTCATGTATTTTTTTTTACAGAATAATCAGGTATGACATAGGAAGATATATAAGGAACGAGAAAGACACTTAAGGTATCAGGAAATATAGATTGCTGACAACCATAGTAAATACACCTATCTAGCACATCATAAAGAAAAAAGTGTTCCTGAACTAGTAAGGCTACACTCAGGCATATACCTTATCAAGGCAAAATGTTTGGCGCATCATGAAATATATCTGCACAGTGGTGGGATTTAAATATGTGAACAACTGGTTCTCTGTGTGGATGCCGCTTCTGGAAGTCCATTCTGCACCTGGGCAACCGGTTCTGCCAAATTGGTGCAAACTGGCTGAATCCCACCACTATATCTGCACCACTTTCCTTTTATTTTGATTTATTCACGTAAATGTCAAAAACTTGGCAAAACTGACAATAAAAGGCCCAGCGAGAAATGTTAGAAAACAAAATGCTGTCAAGCTGCTTTTTGACATTTACAATTCAAAATGTGAAAGGGGAGAGGGAAGTATTTGGAAATGGTGGAAATGAGACTGACATTTGGATAATTTACCAAAGGCATAGCTGGTCTTTATATTTATTGGAAAACCTTAGGATTTTCTGTAAACTCTCTCTTGATCCTATTGTAATGATGTTTTGGACATTTACCACAAAAGAATAAAGCATATTACCCTCTGGATTATTGGGTTGGCTCTATTTTTTTAAAATAGCACTACAAACCGATATCCAATTGCTTGAAGTACAGAAGCATTGTCTCCAGGTAGCAGATACATAGAGAAAAGTTTGTAAACACATACTACATGTCCCCGCAGTAATCAAACCAGTACAAGTGCAATAAAAAAGAAAATGGGTCTTACTCCTTATGATGTATGTACAAGATTGCAAGCACAGCACTTCTCTGATAGTAATTGGAAAGCATAAAATAAAGCTGATGAGAATTCTACCTAAGAGATCATCATGCTGAGAGACAGGTTTTGAGAGAAACGTTGCATTGTCTTATATGCAAAGTAAAGATATATGTAATACTATTATCTGGAAGAAGATAAGAGAAAGGTCCAGCTCTTTGGCTGGGTGCTGTTGTCTGCTTTTCTGCCTATCTTGAGTCTTGTAAAGATAACAAACTACTTTTTGCCTCTTGGTGTCTCTTAAGGTAGTGATCAATATTGAAATAACAAAAATACCAGCACAGAATATGATAAGAATGTTCAGTAAACAAGGTTGGGTGCGAATTATTGAAGTAGTTTAGGGAATGCATAACACATTCCAGTAGGTAACTTCTTATATTTCTCTTAATATATTGACCATGCAAAGCTAAAGAGCAAGATGAATGATCCTTATCTTTTTCTCTCTTTGATTTCCAACCAAATATAAAAGTATGATTAAATTCTCACTCCTTTCTTGCGTTCTCTCTTTCTCCTTATTTTGTTCAAAACATGTAAAATGATATTTTGGAACAAGATGATTATAAACATTTACAACTGAATATTGACGACCACTGTAAATATACCAACAGTTATTGGCAAAGCTGAAGGAAAGACTTTGGAGCAGAATCCAGGGTCTAGTCCCACTTAAGAGAATGAGCAGAGGAGTCCTCAAAAGCAATGAGGCAAGACTGATTTATCATCTGAAAAACGGAGTCTCTTATGAGGCATTAACTTCAGGAAACTTCCATCTAATGCAATGCTCACGTAGTAACTTAAAATGTTGCTCATTAGAGATTGTATATGAGATCTACTAGTGAATTCTTTGGGTATTTGCTTGATCACAGTTGGATTACTGGACTTAGCAGGTCTTTAGTCTAAACCAGCTTCAGAATACAAGTTTCATGACAAATGTCCTGGAAAACCCATAGCTTCCAGATTGTCCATAATCTATGTAATGAATATTGCAAATGTCAGAACATTTTAAAAAATTTAAAAATCCCTCATAAATTCACACTCAAGAGAAATCTAGACCATGTACAAAATATATCATTTCCTTGTTTCTAAACAAAAAGTCTTGAAATGCGTGAGCTGTTGCTTTTGTTCTGGTGTTACTTTTTAAAGACATTATTTTAATATGAAGATGTCATTAACAAACATTAAGGGTAAAGATCTATGGAAACATGCATGATAAGGAAAATAACCTCAGGTCAGCAACTGTTGAATATGGAATATTATATGAACTAATAGAAACACTGAAACGAATCTAAGAGTAAGCAAGAAAGGACCATTCATCCACTAGTAGACAAAAGCAGTTGTGTCTTTTCTTGGGATCTTGTGGCCATCCTCTGCAATTGTCATGCAAGCCTAGGAAAATATGTGCTTGATTTATGAAACTGCAAACAAGTGCTACCTATAAATGCTCCAAAACATATTTTTGCCTTTAATTCCAAATCACAGCACAATCTTAATATATTCTACTTATACATTTCTCAATGTAATTTCTAAAATGAATATGAGGGCTAGACATTTCCTGATTTGTTTGTATGACTGTTTTATAAGACAATTGAATTTGGTAAATATGGTACCAAATGCTACCACATAAGATTTCTCATCCATGGAATAGATGACTTCTTCCAATTTTGTTATATTTATCTGATCTCAAACCCAGCCCCATCTCACCCTTCAGTTCTGTCAAGGTATCTCCCAACTGTTTAAGCACCAGGGATTTCTCCTCCAGCTCTTGTATGGGAATGAATCTGTGATTATGCATTAAGTCCTTCTGGATCTTCTCTACTGATTTTTCCAAGTCACTGTGGATACACAAAGATAACACACTGAGGTCAGGGAGAAAAGGAAAGGAAAAGACATCTGTTGTCATTCCTTCCAAATGATATAGAAGGCAATACAGCACTAAGAAAGTTAATTTCTCTTTCTTTCCTGATTACTAGCCTTCATCTTCTACTTCTCCTCTTTCCATGGAGTAAACTAGTGTATAACTTGCATATAGACTCTTAAATAGCCACTTGCCTGAGAAAAGTTACAAGCTTGTTATTTTGGGGCGTATATATGAACAAGCTAATGCTTTGTGTGTACTAAAATAAATAACAAACAAACATGGAATCAAGCTAGTAAGTAATAAATCAGTTTTAAAAATCCCTAGAGACTGTACATCTAAATCATTTGACAGAGTTATTTGGAGATGTAGAAAGCAATCAGGAAGGTATGAAAATAGAACTGTAATGATAACGTAGAACTTCACCTGCTTTTAAATTGGCTGAATCAGTCTCAGTTTGACAAAAAGAATCATTTTTACATGCAATAAATTATGTGCAGATAAATGTGACTATTGACTAAATCTTCAGTTATGTTTAGAAAGTATTTTAATTTTAAAAAATGGGTATCCACCACCCCCGGAATAAGATGCAGTTTCATTAAAGAAATGAAAAGGTACCATTTGAAAGGTTAAATCTCATATATGGAACTAATGTAGAATCATTACAACATGGTCTCAAGTAACATGTATTTGATGAATTTTTTTTTTAAAAAAAGACATCACACTGAGAAATTCCCAAAGATCATCAGTATGATTAGGCCCAGGAAACTATGCAACTACCTCAGCAGTATAGTAACTATTTATCTAAGATAAAGGGGGAATAAAAAAGATAGGTGTTATGTCCTGAGCCTGTGAGAGCAGGCTCGGGGCATTGCAACGGTCCTGGGCAGGTGCAAGCTGCCCAGGACTAGACTGGCTGTCGCCAGCACTCGCGCGCATGCGTGGGTGCAAGCGCGCCAAATGTTGCAGTTTGGCCCGGGAATCGCCTATAAAAGGAGCAAGGAGATTTGGGCATTGTCGGCGTCTTGTAACCAGTATGCTGAACAGAAATAAAGAGTTCCTGAGAACTACAACTGCTTCTCGTGTCATTGCCATTTCGTGAAGGACTTAACACTGGCGACGAAGGTGGGATTGCCTTACATCGACTGAAGACAGGTGTAAGCTTACCCTAGAGTCCTGAGCAGTAGGAACGGCGTTGACTCGGCAGCTGCCCGCCAATCCAGCGAGCATCGGGGGTAGGCTGGCTGATAGACCCTTCCTTTTCTACAAAAATGGCAAAAGTTGGAAGACTTTCAGAATTCGACGTCTCGCATCTGGAAAGATGGGAGTCCTACGTAGCCAGGGTGGAAAACTATCTTAAAGTCAACCAAGTAAGAGAAGATAGTTTAAAAGCCGCCACCCTGCTGTGCGTTTGCAGTCAAGACGCATTCGAAATCGCTGAAAACATAGCAGCACCTGCACCTCTAGAATCTGTTAACTACACAGATCTCAAAAAACTACTAAAGGAACACTTCCAGCCAAAGTTGTCCGTCATCGCGTGGCGCCACACCTTCGAACAGAGGGATCAGCGACCAGGAGAATCAGCCAAAGAATACATTGCTGCACTAAGAAAAGCCGCTAAACACTGCGAATTCAAGGATCTAGAAGAACGGCTGAGAGACAGATTTGTATGCGGACTGAGGCATAGAGAATTGCAGCAGAGACTTTTCGCTAAAGAAGACTTATCATTCCAAGATGCCTTGAGAGAGGTTACCGCAGAAGAGGCAGCGGGCGGCGCCATCAAGAACATGAGGCCGATCAGAAGCACTCCAGAAGCTGTGTCCGTGCACCAGGAAGGAGTCCAAGGGAACCCAGAGGAGGATCCTGACGATGAAGTAGACCGTCTCTACCCCACGAAGGAAGGAAAACAGAAGGAAAGCTCTTCAGCTCTCCCCAAGTGCCTCGGTTGTGGAGGTCGCCACAAGAGGACCGACTGTAGATTCCGCTCCGCTATCTGCAGGGCATGCGGAAAACAGGGACACATTGCAGCTGTGTGTCTGGGCCGTCAGAAGGTACAACCTCGGGAAGAATTGCGCCTGAAAGGTACCAGGGTCCCCAGCCAAAACAGGGTGGGTTTCTGTGCTTCGCGAAGAAGCATTTATAGGACAGGCACACACAAGCCCATTAAGAAAAAGCTGTCACTTAAAGTGAAGCTACAAGGGGTTCCATTGGCTATGGAACTGGATACGGGGTCTGCACTTTCAATCATTTCCATGCACACGTTTAGGAAGATTTGTTCTGGCAGCGGATTTCAGGCCAAGCTGAGGCCTTCCGCCATTGTGTTAACAGACTTTCAAAACTCCAGAGTGTGTGTTAAGGGGGAAGCCACCCTTAACATACAGTATAAGGATTTTGAAGGTCCACTAGATGTAATAGTAGTAGGGGGTGAACGAACGAGTCTCATAGGACTCGATTGGTTTGAGGCCTTTGGAATACACGTTACAGGGCTCAACAGCTTGCAAACAATAGACCTACAAGAAGTCTGCAAAGAATTTGCAGATGTTTTCAGCCCACAGCTGGGCACATACAAAGGACCCCCTGTGTCACTGAAGTTAGACCCTTCTGTCAACCCTATTAGAATTAAAGCAAGAAGGGTCCCTTTTGCTTTGAAAGGTAAAATTGACACTGAATTGGACAAATTGATTCAGCAAGGAGTTTTAGAACCTGTCGACTCCAGTCCGTGGGAGAGCCCCATTGTCACGCCTCTTAAGGCAAATGGGGACATTCGCATCTGTGCAGATTACAAATGCACTCTGAATAAGGCATTGCAGCAACATGCCTATCCTGTTCCCATGGTCAGTCATATTCTGGCCTCCCTCAAGGGGGGGCGTGTCTTTGCAAAGCTTGACCTAGCTCAGGCGTATCAACAGCTGCCTGTTGATGATGCTGCTGCTGTAGCACAAACCATTGTGACCCATTGTGCATTCAAGGTAAAGAGGTTACAATTTGGAGTAAATGTGGCTCCTGGAATTTTCCAAAGCATAATGGAAAACACACTATGGGGGGTTTGCCCCTATTTTGACGATGTCTTAATTGCTGGAGACTCTACACACAACTTAGCTGAGAGATTAAGGGCTGTCCTGCTGAGGTTCAGGAAAACGGGCCTCAAACTTAAGAAGGACAAATGTAAAATTGGGGTGCCTTCTACAGATTTTCTGGGATTCAAAATTGATGCTACCGGGATTCACCCTGCTGAATCCAAATTGAAAGCCATTATGCATGCTCCTAGGCCAAAGTCCAAGGCCGAACTACAGGCCTTTCTGGGCCTTCTGAACTTTTACAACTCCTTCCTTCCAAACAAGGCGAGTGTAGCCGAGCCTCTTCATAGGCTCCTGGACAAACAGGCAGTGTGGCAGTGGTCACAAAAACACGAAGCAAGTTTCAATGAGGTTAAGGCCTTACTCACTTCTAATAGTGTGCTTGCACATTTCAATGAATCCCTTCCTGTTTGCATCGCTTGTGATGCTTCTCCTTATGGGGTGGGAGCCGTACTAAGCCACCTCAGAACAGATGGAACTCAGGTTCCTGTTGCATATTACTCCAGAACCTTGTCTTCTGCGGAGCGAAATTATGCTCAAATTGACAGGGAGGCTTTAGCTGTTGTTGCTGGAATCAAAAAGTTCCATGATTTTCTATATGGCAGGCATTTCACGGTCTTCACTGACCATAAGCCTTTGTTGGGGCTGTTTACCACACATAAACAAATCCCCAAATCATCTCCCCCAGAATGCTGAGATGGTCTATCTTTCTGTCTGCCTATGATTTTTCCTTATTTCACAAACCTGGGAAAGAAATGGGCCATGCTGACGGCCTCAGTAGATTACCCCTGCCAGTAATAGAAGATGACCCTGCACCAACAATCAATATCCTCTCCATTCAGGCCTTGCCTGAGTCCCCTTTAGATGCCAGGGATGTGGCTGCTGAATCAGCCACAGATCTCACACTTTCGCGTGTCCTTTCTTGGGTTTTATCTGGATGGCCAGAGAGCTGTCCAGGCACTGAGTTTCAGAGTTTCTGGTCCAAAAGGAACGAGTTATCCACCTTCCAGGGTTGTCTGCTTTGGGGGAGCAGAGTTGTCATTCCTGCCTCAATGAGGACTAGGGTCTTAGGTTCCCTCCACGAGGGTCATCCTGGCATTGTACGTATGAAGGCGCTTGCGCGCAGCCATTTGTGGTGGCCTGGGTTAGACAGAGACATTGAGGCTAAGGTGCATGCATGCCACCTTTGTCAGAGCTCACGCCCTGAAATGCCCCAAGCTCCTGTACATAGATGGGAGGAAACACAGTCTCCATGATCTAGGGTGCACATTGACTACGCTGGGCCTTTTCAGGGTCAATTCTTCTTGGTCCTAGTTGACAGCCATTCAAAATGGCTTGAGGTTGTACCTGTCTCTTCCACCACCGCTGCAAAGACTATTCAAGTACTGAGGGGGATTTTGGCTGCACACGGGCTTCCTGATGTCCTCGTATCTGACAATGGCCCTCAATTCACTTCTTCCGAATTCCAAGCTTTCTTACAGGCCAACATGATTCGTCACGCCACCTCTGCGCCTTTCCACCCGTCCACCAACGGTATGGCTGAACGCATGGTTCGCATCACCAAGGATGCTTTGAAGAAACTTACCTATGGAGACTGGCATCACAGGTTGGCTGACTTCCTCCTTTCTTATCGCACTACACCTTCCACTTCTACCGGGAGGAGCCCAGCTGAACTTCGTTGGGGGCGCAAACTGACTACCAAGCTTGACCGGTTGCACCCGGAAAGACTACCTTCCACAATCACACACCCCAGGGCACCTAGACAACTGCTTGTGGGTGCCCCGGTTTGGACTCATAACTACGGGCCTGGCCATTCATGGGTCCCTGCCACTGTGTCCAGGGTCACAGGTCCTTTGTCCTATGAGGTTTCCCTGGACGACGGTCGTGTCCTGCGACGACACATCGACCAGCTCCGCACTAGATGGGACCTTCCCACTGAGACTCCTGGGTCTTTTCCAGGGGGGGGACCCCTTTGGGCAAGGGGAAGAGTGCGGGCTGCCGCCTATCATTAACGAAGGAGCTACAGACAGCTCATTCTGAGATTCCGCGAGTGCTCCAAATAGGAAATCATGGAGCCCAACTAGAACTCAGGCACCAGTGCCTACTCCAGCCAGGGAGTCACCCCGGGGGCATAATCACTACTCACCCGCATCACTCAGTACTCCAGTCAGGGAGGATATCCGGGAGCGTCCAAACAACCCACACCCTGCAAGAGAGCTGGCACACATTCCGTCTAGTTGGCCCAACACTACCCCTGTCCCTAGAAGGGGGCAAGCACACAGGGAGGTGGTCAAGGAACCGAATCCCGACTACAACACCTCTGGCATCACTCAGGGGACAACTGAGTTTTGGGACAGCACTGAAACTCCAACAAGCCCAGGTACAGAACGGGAACATGGGGAAAGACAACCTCTTGATAGGTCTAGGACAGACCTAGGAGGTTCTACAGAATTGCCCAACAGTGACAGTCACTTTAGAGGGCCAAAGAGCCTGCAGCCAGGCAGGACAACCAGGTCAAACAGAGGAAGAAGCCCTGGCCAGGCATTGGAGCACAGTCCTTGGGAATCACCAGAGCCTAGCAAGGGGGACAAGCATACATCACCCCTCAGTCAAGGGGTACTTGGAAGGTACCCAGAAGTCAGGAGGTCACAGAGAGCTAGAAGATCTCCTAAGTATTTAGAAGATTTTGTAACACTATTGGCAAAACAGAGTTAACAGAGAGTATTCCTGTACACATAGGAAATAAAACACTGGGAAACAATAGAAGCAAACGGGATAACTGGTACAAAGCTAGTATGGGTACCACACTCGTATTGGGTTGTATATTATTATTGTATGATCATAGTCTTAGCCGGGGGGGAAGGGGTGTTATGTCCTGAGCCTGTGAGAGCAGGCTCAGGGCATTGCAACGGTCCTGGGCAGGTGCAAGCTGCCCGGGACCAGACTGGCTGTCGCCAGCACTCACGCGCATGCGCGGGTGCGAGCGCGCCAAATGTTGCAGTTTGGCCCGGGAATCGCCTATAAAAGGAGCAAGGAGATTTGGGTGTTGTCGGTGTCTTGTAACCAGTATGCTGAACAGAAATAAAAAGTTCCTGAGAACTACAACTGCTTCTCGTTTCATTGCCATTTCACGAAGGACTTAACAATAGGGATGGTATCATTGTCATATACCTCATATACAGAGAAATTCAGTAGTTTCATGTGGATGATAAAATAGATACGGACAAAGAGGAACTTAAGCCAGGAAACAGAATGAATCCTCCAGAATTATTTTCACCAGGCTTGAATCACTCAAGGTCTTTGACCTAATTTGAGACAGCCCTCAACCTAATTTCAAAAGCTTTTTGAAATAAGTAATTCAGATATCTGACAAAAGTAATTTGATTCTTTCAAGAAATCTGTTGAAGGAGCAGAAGGGAAAGGAAAGTGTCTAAGTGTGTATGTGTATAGAAAAAAAATGAGGTGAAAAGACAAAATGGCTGCTTTATTCACTTTTTGTGATGTCTCACCCAATTGAAATGGAACACCCAAAAAAGTTAAGATGATGGCCAAAAGTACATAATCAATGCACCTTTCCTGTGCATTGCAACTTTTGTAAAAAGTAGGCAGGATTTCATTTGCACAATCACAGCTTGTGATTATGAATGTCACAATGCATACCTTTATACCTATTGCTATTTAGGTTTAAAAGGACGAAATATTTTTAATTCCTAAATTCTTTCTGAGTCTCTTTGTCCAAACTAAACAACTGATTACCACTGTGACTGGTGCCTACTTCAATGACAAGATATACATTTTTAAACCAACCATGTTTCAGCAGTGAAAATCTAAAATCTAACTGTGCATTATGATACTAAGTTGTATCACCCACAGAATACCTAACCTTGAAATGTCATTCCCACCTAGCCAAAAAAATAACATACAGAGATACTCCCTACAGCTCTGATAGACTATGACAAACAAGTCCTTCTTGTTTATCTAGCCTTGCCCTAGATAAACATGAACATTTTTACAGGATCCTCACTTAAGTTGCTGAGTTATGAGTTCTTCCTCATTGAGGTAGCGGAGGCGTTCCTCTTCAACCAGAGTGCGCTGCCTTTGTAAGGGATCTTCCTGTTTGCGCATGGTGTCGGTCACTCGCACACTGATTTCAGTCTCTGTCCGTCTCAACATGGTCTTTACTGTCTCTTGATTTTGAAGCTGAAATGGATGGGAGGGGGAAGAAAAGCAACAGAAAAATAATCAAATGCAGCTAAATTGCTTCAGTCATCAGATCCATGCTATATTGGATTGTACAAAAAGATGAATTAAGGAGAGTCTGTATCTAGAGATCAAGTGTCTTCCCCAATGTGCATCACTTTCCTCTTAGTGATTCTGGTTTTGTTTCAATGGTACTTGCTTTGATCTAGCAAATAGAACTGCTTTTGCACAAAAATTTGCCAGACTAATTTTTTTTGTGAATAGTGGCACTATTTAGAAGGTAGGAGTCCTTCTATGCTCCAACCTAGCATGTGTGGCATTTTTTTGTGGAACAGAGTATGTTTGATTGTGTGCATTTGTGCAATTCCCCATTATTTCTATAGTTTGCTATGATTTAGGACAGTGATGGCGAACCTTTTAGAGACTGAGTGCCCAAAAACCAGCCCCACCCCTGCCCCCATCTGCCCTGCCCCTGCTCCTCCCCACCCCATCTACCCCACCCACCGCCAGCCCACAAGGCCACTCACTGCCTCCCTAGCCCGCTGAATGCCCAGGTGGCCCAGCAGCGCCATAATGGCCACATCCTCCGCCCGTGCCCCACAGCATTAACCGTGCAATGGGGCACGAGGGTGGAGTCTTGTTCCCACTACCTGGCTGCCATGTGCTTGGCTGTGCTGCTCCACATGGGCCACGCTCGGGGGAGACTCTCTGGGGGAGCTGGTGGTGAGGAGGGGGCTGTGGCAGGAGGCGGGGCTGGAGCAATGGTGCATGTGCCCACAGAGAGGGCTCTGAGTGCCACCTCTGGCACGCGTGCCATAGATTCGCCACCACTGATTTAGGATAAGGCTCCCTAGGTCAGGCTGAATGATAGCTTTCCATGGTCATAGCTAAGACATTAAAGAAAAATTGGAAAAGTAGAAAGCAGATGAAGCATTTGCCTGTATTTCCTCCATAGATAGTCAGGACCAATTAATCATTGATGTAGGATGGAATTGTTAACATTAAAGAAAGCTGCACTTCTAATATCCTTCAGGAACACTATGTAGACAGTATCCAGCGTTAAATTTTCACTCCTAAACAGATGCTGAATATGGATAAAATAATTCATTTGCATGACATACATATATACAATTACTTCTTTGCAATAGAGTTTACACAAAAGTGACATTGAATTACTTACATAATTAAGGCGTGTTTATAAGTACCTGCATTTAAAAAGACCTCCAGTTACTGTGTTTTCTCCTAAACAATGTAAAACTAGTGGTAAAAGAGCCAGTAAATGAGGAATTGGACCTAACTGTACATCTAAAATTCATAACATAAAATAATATTTACAGAGTCGCTTTACTGATGAGATGGTGATGTATAAATTTAATAATTAAATATTTGTTTTACATTTAGAGGTATACAATTGTATTGGAACATTGCATACATGTATTTTTATTTTCTGTCCAAAGTCAAGGAATGTATGAAATTTCAAAGGCTTAGAATTTTCATTTTGTAATTTAGAACTTGTGTGTTGCCGTTGGAGAGAAATCCAATCTTATTACTGTTATATGTAAAATACTACAACTGAAATAAATAAAACCTGGCAGCCTCTATTGTTTAACACTTCATCTTCTTTTATAGTCATATTGAAATTGTATTGGAACACTGCATACATAATTAGAATTGTTTCAATTTTTATGAGACTAATTTGGATTCCAAATTAAGAACGATTAAAAACAAATATTTTAAAAAATATAATATATTAATCTAGTGCAATCTTCTAACATTAATAATACTTCTTAATTGGCAGTCAAGGATTTTTTGTTTGTTTGTTTCTCTCTTCCTTAGAGTTTGGAGGCTTGATTTCTTTTACTTATATTTGCAAAGTAATGAAAGAACATACCGGCTAGTCAATCTACTACACAGATTACATATAGAATTTTACATGCCCTGCCCAATGTTGTTAGGAACCCTTGTCATTGGCCATTCTAGCTGGATCTGATGGGATTGGATGCCAGTTCATTTATCTTTGGAATACCCTTTGTTGAATGAATTTGCCACAGTCTAAAACCTTCCATTGGAATGATGTTACTACAGGTGATTAACACCACAGAAGATATCCACGCAAATCTGGACATAAAATCTGTTGCAGAATTTCAAAGCATCTGGGAGAAATAAGGGAGTGTAAGCCATTTGCTTTTCCACCTCTCAGCACTGTTTGCTGCTTCCCAGTTTCCAACAAGCTGTCACTGTTAATTATCTCCGGAGTTAAGCAAGTCAGAGAAAAAAAACACAGGCACCTCCCACAGTTTGGGAGGGAAGATCAGATTGCTGGCTCTGGATGCACAGCTACCATCTGCCCTTTTATTGGGTGCCACAGACTCCAAATTAATCTCACCTGGCACCAAGGCAGTTTGTTTTGGTGAGCAGGACTAATGAGAATAAATGTCAACAGAAAAGAGAAACAAAATTGAGAGCAAAAAGAGAGCAAGGCAAACTCTTGTGGCAAGATGGGGAAAGCAGAGGCTTATTTTTCATGGTGTTTGAAGGACAAGGAAAGATTTTAGGATTAAACCCCATCTTATCAACTAAGTTAAATGAATCCCAAATAGAAATGGAAAAATAACAAGCTGGATTCAGATAATGGATCCATGTGGCCCATTACTGTCAGTATTGATTGGCAACACCATTTCAAAGTTTTAGACAGAAAACCTTTTGCAATCTTAGTTGATGCCAAAGATTACACTAAGACTTTCTGTGAGCACTGTGTATGTGATAATGCTTAACTATAGAGTTTCTCTATACCTACATTTAATTTGCATTCCTTCTTGTTCTTAGTACACCTTCCTTTCTTCCTCTAGCAATGGAAAATTACAGGGAAAGGTTAATTTATTAAATGGAGTCAAAATATGTGTGTGCAGGAAGAGAGGAATGGACAGTATTGAAACTCAGTGTCTATGATTGCTGAATCAATACTGTTGCTTTTCTCTATAAAAGAAAAGTGAGACACAATTAGTTTTTGCCAAGCTTAAAATCAATTCTCTCCTTATGGAATTTAGCCAGAAACTATTTTTTTTCTTTAAAGAAGAAATAAGTTCTGGTTTATGTCTTTCAATTTTGTATTCTCTGAAGGATATGATTACATCAGATAATATAATTTTATTTCCAAGTGCCTCTCCAAATTCTGCATCAAGTGAAGTTAAATTCACAGAGCTGTATATATTGAGTAATTTGAACAAATTTGCAATACTTTTGCTTCACCTAATTTATTTGTTTTCTAGTGTTATACAGAGCATACTCTTACAACTGGGCATCAGATTCAGCCACTCTCTGAGCAGGAAGCATCATTTGCTTCCAAAATATATCATTTCTAATGGAGAAAAGCTTCAGCCAACATAATATTCTAAAATTTCTCCCTCCATTGGAAAAAGAGCCCAAACATAATCTTCCTTCCAACTCAGGTTACCTGCATCTTCTTGAGTTGCTGCAGCTGGTTGCGGAGTTCACTGGCATTCTGCTGCAAGTCATGGAGATGCAGCTGCATGTGCAGACGAGTGATAGCAGTGGGCTGCCCAGCTGGTGTACCAGTAGTAGATGGGGGTGGAGGTCCAGGAACTGGAGTCCCTACATTGCTTTTGCTTTGGGCTGAAACAGAAAAAAATACCAGAAACGCATAATAATCCATGGAGATTGAAAAAAAGGAAAAGGATTATGTCTTTAAGATCCTTTATCAAGCTTGCTGTACAAAATACAAATCCCGTAATTTTCATTGCAAAGCATTATAGGATAGTTATCAAAGACAACATCTTGAGTAATATCTTCTACATAAATAAAGTACACTAGTAACAAGTGGCTTCTATTTTTACCACAAATTGGTCTAGATAATGTTATTTTTTCAGCAACTCCAAGAATGCAGAGAGCTGCATTAAATTCACTATTGGCTTCCCCTTCTTTATATAATTCTTTTCCTTTCAAACCATCATGCAGAAGGGCCTGATACTTATGTGAAACTATCTTACCTCAGTTTATCTTTGTAACAAAGCCAATTTATTTTTAAGGTAAGAACAACTTTCCTCACTTTAAACTGCATTTTTAATATCATGCATCAAATCTGTTCAGTGTGGAGCATCATCAAGGAGTTGAATCAAGAGTGAAATCAAATTCTTGCTTCCATTTTGTTCCAGACAGCCTCAAAAGTGGAAAAATTGGCAGTGAACATGAGAAGAGCATACAGATTTCTATAACTTACAGGAGAAAAGCAAAAAGACTAAAATGGAAGGATGGGAGATTTTCATGAAAACTTCTTAACTCTAAAGTCCACCTATCAAGATAAAAATACTTTTAGTATATTTCTTCTTGTTCCAGATAAAACAGCAACTACAATTGGAATTTATACTTCTTGTTTTACTGCTCCATTGATGAACCTAAGATGACTTCTTTTTCTTGAGATAAGTCAGATATGAGGATGGGACTTCAGATGTTCACTTACATGCTGATGGAGGTGTTCCTCCATTGGTCCCTTCTGTTTTCTCACTGTAATGACAAATAAGACATAGATATTCCAAAACCATTTCTAGATTTAAGATGTTTGGATGGGAGTAAAAATTGTTTTACTGTAATATCATGTGATTTGTGTATATGATTATAAGTGAAGCTTACTTGCATTCATAATATTCTAGGCTGCCAGCACTAATGCAAGACATAGAAAACACATGTATTCATTTCAGATGTAGAATTTTCATCTTTAAGTGTGAGACATACATGCTCTGGGTCACAGATAGAAGAAAATTCTATTATTTATTTATTAACTAGATTTATAAAGCTGCCTAACTCAATCAATGTGACTCTGGGCAATGTACAAAGCTTTTTCCCAAGAAAAGTTGAAAGCTGGATAGTGGAGGTAAGAAGAAGAAATAATTAACATTATGCTCCTGAGCTTTTGATTAAAGGTTGGAATTACAATAAGTGGAAAAGTCCATGAAAACAAGCAGAATATGTAAATAAGTCTAGCAGCATAAAACTATGTTCATTTTTATCTTTATTTTTCTACATAGCGTTATTTGAGTTTCACTGATTTTTGTTTTTTGCAGCTTTTTTTTCTTATTACAGGGTATGCACAAAGATCTAAAATTTTCTTTATAGTTTTTCTGGAAACTATATATTAATTTAGAATTTTCTACCACATATCCTGACAGAAAATTTATGGTAGATGAGCTATAACTATGATCTGTCTCTTTTTAATGTTATCCCATAAACTTTGTCTTATTTATCCTGAATATTTGCATTTTAATAATGTTAAAAAGTAAGATTTACGTTTTATTTCTTTTTTTAAAAAAGTTTGATTTTTCTTAATATCTTGTGAGATTGATCTGTTTCTCCAAAAAGAGCAGGAAGGCATATGTACATTGCCAAACTAGAAGAAGTACTAGGAATTTATGCTAAAGCAATGATTTTGTATCTCATCTGTCACCCCATAAGGTAGATCAGACTAAGAAACCTAAAGCTTTAATTGGAACTGTAGTAACAGAATCTTGCAAGTCTGAATGTCCTTCCCTTCCCTTCTCTTTCTTTCAAGGCCATCGTCTATACCAGTGGTGGCGAACCTATGGCACGCATGTCAGAGGCAGCACTCAGAGCCCTTTCTGTGGGCACACATGCCATGCCTCGGAGATGGTGAGGGACTGGCCTCCGCCACCTTGGCCCCACCCATCCAGTCTGCCATGACCACTGCGGCCATGCCCACCTGGCACCCAGTGATTTAATAAGTTTGTTTTGGGTTGCAGTTTGGGCACTGGGTGTCTAAAAGTTTCGCCATCACTGCTCTATACAGTACTTGCTATATGACCCATTCTCATTTTAATTTTTGGAGCCAGCAGCACAGCATGGATTGGCAGTGTCCTATTTCTTTAAAAGAAGGAGAGTGCTAGAAACCATAGCAATAACTACCACTCTCTTAGCCCAATTAAGTACAATTTAAGCTAAGGTAACTGATTACTGTGCAATGGTACTTCACAAGGAATTGATGCAATAAAGAAAGTGGTAGCCTCAGTAGTGGTTCTCCTTGAAGTAGAAGGTTATATAATGTGGGAAGGGTGAGTTTGGAAATACGTAAATAATCATTGCAAAATACTGCTTTACCAGGTGCTTTGTCTTATAGTTATTGGAATAGAAACTCTATGGACTGATTGGTTGAGTTGGGCAAATTTGGTGAGTTATTGCCTTAAGATCACCTGCAATTAGGGTGATCAACTGCAAAAGAGCCATGTTTTTTTTTCAATTAAAATAAGTTTAGTTGCGTCTTGCCACTTTATCTATTACAATTCATTACTGAGCAGAGATTTGGTCAAAATCCCATACTCTAACCTTTGTATCATAGTGGCATTCATTCTCTTTTTAATCCTCTATTAAAGCCACCTAGCCAGTTTGTTTGGATTGTTGAAAATATCTCTAATCTGGTAATAACTTTCTGCTTTACATTTATCAGGATAAGGACGTAATTGAGTGAAAAGTTCACCATCTCTATCAATGCCAAGGGGAACAGCAGCAAGTCATGCAGTTTTACCCATCCAATCTCTTACCTAGGAGTCTCTCCATCTGAGCTTCTCATTAATGCACTCTGTACCAATCCTGTGAGACTGGCAATCTGTTTTTCCATCGCTTCCATGCGTTCCCTTAATAAAAAGAGAGCGGAAAAAGAAGAGAGACTGTACATATAAAAAGTTCCAGACAAGGCACTAGGATAATTATATGCTTTTTTCATTGATTCCTAGTATTATGGCAATATGAGTAAGCATAAGAATACAGTATATTTATTTGTATTCAATTTTGAAATAGCATCCTGCATGTCTCTCAATTTAATAATCTGGACTTGTTTGCAATAATATAAAGAAGGTAAAAGTATAAAATCATCAAAGCAAGAAAAAATATTAGCAAAGAAACAATATCATATCCCACACAAAACAGCTAGAAAATTACACTTTAAAAAGCACCTGATGGAAATCCATGTAACTTTCTGAAGCTCTGCAGATGGTAACAGCCTCATACGATGGGTGAAAACTAAGAAACAATTGACCAAAATAGGCTTCCTAAGGACAGGAAATTAAGAGCCTATCAGCTTTGTGGAAGCAGCACAAATTCATAAAGATCTTATAGATATTTCTGGGAAGCTGACAACCTGAAAGGAAGACAACCGCATAAGGTATTTCCTCGATGCTTGATGCCCTTTAGATGCAAATCCTGTAATTCCAGATTAGTATAGACAGCATATCCTCAGAAATATACAAGGCTGGAAATTTTGGCCTGAAGAAGAGAGGAGCTGGTACTTTAGCACATCAGATTTTGCATAGGAATACAGAGTGGTATGTGGTGCTCCAATCCACTGTGCTTCATTCTGTTTTCTCCATCCCATCCAAACAGCACATTATATCAGGTAAAAAAGTGTCACATGCAAAATGTGTTTTTGTCAGTGATTCTGTAGCCTTTATTTCACTCTACTTACAATTGCATTAACAACTTAATAAGTATGTCTACTTTCTCAGTCACAAGTAGACACCTAGGAAGATGCAGGTCAATTAGTGTAAGCAACTGTTATGCCAGTAAAATTCAGGCATTCTGTACCTTTAGTTGGCCAAAGTGAGGTAACACGCCTTTTCCTTTTGGGGTCGTGCTCTTTGATTTTACTTTGAAAAGGGAAAGGCAGAAATGAAATGACATAGCATGAAACTAAGAGTGGTTTTGGCTTCTCTCACTCTCTCCATCAAGTGTCCATCCCAAAGGGCCTCTTCGGGCAATTTTTCTTCAAGGTTCTGAATTGAGGAGCAACCTCTCAAGCATGTTTTCCACTTCATTAACTTCTGATAGGACTATGACTTTGATTCCTTTGACCTCTCCTGTTTACCTCTTGATGTTTCTAATCATTTCTTTTTTCTGTTTTTCTCTTATCCTAATGATCTCTGTTCTTACATTTCCCCCTGATAACTCAAGTCAGCTGAGAAACTATCCTCATTCCTGGATATATATGCATAGGAAGATTAAACATGAGATAAGGCACACAATCTCATGTTGTCTAATTTGCTTTCAGAGTCCTGAAAATTATGGGTAAAGAGATAGACACAAGTTAAAAATTGGGAGAGAATAGATTAACTGCTATTGTAGCATCAAAGATCAATTATTCCAATTTTCTTTCTCAGCCCTTCAGTACTACTGAGACAACAAAATGAAATAAAAAAAAAAACATGTTATCACGCTATTTTGGGGGTCATCAAACTTTTGGGAGCAATGGGCACATTGAAATTTTTGATGACTCCCAATCATAAACACCTTTTTTTAGCATTGCAGGAGATTAAAAAACATATTGGATTGCAGCCATCCCCACTTTATTTTCTAAAATAAAAATTCACATGGAATCTCAAGGTATGCTTGGGAATGATACTTTGCTCTGCAGGATGCAAAGCTTTCCATTATTATAAAATTAAAGATTTCTTAAAAGAATAGGGCAGGAAGCTTGACAAATTATAAGCAGACACATTGTTGTCTTGATACATTAATTGGGGAGCCAGACAGTATATTATCAAGCAATATCTTTGGGCTTTCTATAATATCTAATTGAACAATAAGACCCATTCAGCAAAACCCCTTCTCTTCTTTGTTGAAAGTTTCCTGCTTGAAGATTTTCACTCATTTTATTGCTTACTGCTGGGAAATAGGTGATAATTGTTCCATGAGTAGCATCTTTTAATTGAAGTTTGATTTCAGCTTCCCACAAGAGATAGCTATAATAACTATTTTCCTGCCATTTTTAATTTATTTTTTTAAAATGAGCAAAATAACCGTCTTTTTGCATATAATGAAACAAAAGAAGCAAAAGGAAGAACTCAATATATAATGCCTACAACAGATCTGACATTTGTTCAGCAATCCTGTTGGCAATTATACAGCAGTCAGCCTCATTATAGAGTAGAACATAATGCTGAAGAATACATAGGATTAAGCTGTAAGAGGTAATTACTAGGAGTATCTGTTCAGATTACCCACTCAGTTGTCAAGTAATGTAAGGGCAGAACTTGCAAGGATGGGAATGTAAATAAAGGTACACAGAAGACAGAATGCTGCAACAGTATTTTACTTTGTTATACTGGATTAATCTACTGCTGATGCAACCACATGGCAAATTAAAAAGGAAAAAGAAATAAAACAGATCTGGAAAAAATAAAACATTCTATTTTATTTTTACAGAGGGTCAAGGTAGCATACATTTGTAATTTTGCTGATTTTCCCCATTTTTTTATTCCAAATAGTTCTCTTATCTGAGAAAAGCTGAAGAGAAGAGGGGCTCAAAAAGAAGTGCTTTGCCCAGGCTCTAGATCAAGAGATTTTTGGATGGTCATCAGCAGGAATGGTCAGCAGAAACCTGTTTAACATGTCTTTCTCCAGTCTGTAAGAAGGCACAAATGTATGCCAACATTACTTGCATGGTCTTTCACCTGATCGCTGCTCTGCTTTGCTAATGAGACAGCAATGGGAGGTTCATTTCTGAGAGGTTAATATAGAATTGATTATTGAAAGTGATTGGTGGATTTCCTGCTGCTGCTGAAAAAAACAACAACTTCCAGTTGCTCTCCTTAATAAGGAGTAAGACTGAGGAAAGAGGTTAATTATGATAGATAGTTGGACCTATCTCTCTGGCTTTATTTGAAAGCAGACGGCTGATGATTTATTTCTCTTGCATATTTGCCCAATTCATTCTTTCTTACTTATATAATCTCTTTTTCACTCACATATCTGTCTCTCTTGTGCTTCCTTGTTATTTTGCTTACTTGTGTTCTCTTGCTGTCTCTTTTGCTTTGTCAAAAAACAGATGACAATGGGCTATGGGCAAATGTTCTCACCACTTCAACCAGCAGTGCTCTATTGTGCAAGCTGCCTTGTCAATCAGGGTCTAGTGGTCTTGCATGAGAGAGCTAGACCCATGTAGGCAATTACCCTTCATAGTGCCTGATCATTAATTTGCAAACACTAATCAAGCATCATGTGCTCAAATGCGTAGTGTGTCTGATCACTCCTGCTGCTCCAGCCAAAATGACCACAGGAGTCACCATACGAGTACAAACAAACCATTTACTAACCCATGTGCATTTATTTATTTATGGCACAAAATAACCAAAATCACTTGGGTTCTTTTGTGGCAACAGCATTATAGGATAGAAATCTCATTTACTGAGACCTGAATGTCATTTTTGTACTCAAATTCAAGTTCAGAATAAGAAAGCCTGCATACTAGGGTCCAACTTTCCAATGTATAAAATATTCAGGGTGCTGATCATTGTGTTATTAATAATGGTACATCTATAGATAGCAAGAAATGAGACACTTCCATCTTTTTACCTTGTTTCAGCATCCTTGGCAGGCACTGGTGAGCTGAATCCAGAATGAGGTCGTTCCCCAGGTCCAGGGAATAGTTCCGGAGCACCTGAAGAACTGAGATTCCGTGGTTTATTGACAGGGCTTTCCATGAACACTGAGGAACAAGAGTCTTTGCGGAAAGTCTGCCGTACTGGTGAGGATCGACTTGGAGGCCCTGAATAAGGGCTGTGAGGACTTTGGCTCTGCTGAACATCCACCAGCCGGCCATCAGCTATTTTCTGGGGAGATGACGGTGGCAAACGGAAGCCCATCCCTGGGCCATAAGTATCACTGTAGATCTGTGAATTGGGCTTGTATAAACTATCTTCCAGTTCTGATTGTAGGGCAGCAGCTGAATAGGTACTAAGAGAACGCACTGAGCCCCGCTTATAAAGCCCTCCAGGGTAAGCAAATGGATCTCCCATCCCAGCCAGTGACTGAGTAGATGTAATGCTCAAACGTCCCTCATGTACCATACTGTATGGATCAGCATACAGGCCTTCATTCTTCACCAGCACCATATTTTTTCCCACCAGGTCTTCATCTGGCTTGACATCCCGGCGTTCCAAGATAGCACTTGGACTTGGTGAGACTCCCTGAGCTGGAGGGAGGTTGGAGAGGCGCTCTCCATGATGTACAGGGCTGCCAGCATAGGAGGGTGGGCGCCCACCACTATAAGACATACGGGAACGGGATGGTGAGGATGACTGTAGCACTGGAGGAGGGGAGCCAGAAGTAAGGTGGGAAGCAGGAGATATACTGTTTAGGCGCCGGGTGGGAGAGGATTCTCTGGAAGTGTAGACCACTTCTCTCTAGAACGATAAGAAGCCAGAGAAATTCAGAATGTAATAAATCTTTTCTGCATATAGGTAAAATATGTGAGATTATTTAATCACATGAAACAACTGTATAAGTGCATAATATATACTGAGCTGCATGAGCATAGAGAAAAAAAAATCTTATTGGTATGGTCATCACAATATGGTCTGTCTGTCTGTCTTTGTCTCTCTCTCTCTCTTTCTCTCTCTTGCACAAAATTTCTTTCTTACAGTTTTTTTAAACTGTTGATTCATTCCATTTCATCTCCTCTTTTGGAAACATATTTTACTCTGATGAATGCCTTGATGGGCATATTTATAGTTTCCTGCCAAAGTCTGCTTATGCTAGTGAAATATTCATTGGCAATTTGCCAAAGTTTTTCATTTTTCTATTTCTTCCAAAGCAACTGTTTTCCTTACTAAACTAGGTTGTTCACTACAATAGAAAGCTTGTACTTACTTTTCTAAAGCTAATCACTTGTGGGATAATGTGGGATAACATAATTTTGCACTCAGATTTACAGAAATGCAAGTCCCATCTTAAATTCTTGAAACCTCAAGGACGCCATCCACTAATAGGGGATTCTCCATAGTTTTTTCTTTTCTTAAATTAGAAAAAATTTATAGGATATATAAATTGTTCCCACAGTGGAATTACTTAAAAAAAAATTCTGAATATCTAAAGCTCAAGGGAAATACAGATTTTCCAGTGATCCTCTCTATTAAAGTGATTTGATTCAAGTATTTTAGTTTTGCTGAAAAGGAAAGAAGAAAAGAAGGGGTGGGGAAGGTCCTTAGATTAGAATTGTCAGGATTTTTCTGTTACTTTCTGAGGAAATAATCACCCCAGTGCACATCTATAGCTCTCAAATTACAAAGAGGAAATTGCCGTCTTTTGGTAGAATACATTGAACATGAAAGAGGAAGATTATGACTGCACATCTGCAGAACTGCAATGCTTGCTAAAAGTCAACATATGACTGTGTGCACCATAGCACAGGTATTAACGAAATGTTCCTTAATACATTGCCCATTTTATCTCTTGTGGCACTGACAATAAAGAACTGAATGGCCTCTATGCAATCCTTTGCTCTTACCCGAAGGTCACCATTGGTGATGTGGGATCCAGGGAATGAGGCATAAAGGGGCTCTTTCCGGTAGATTTTGATAATACTTCTGTCCTGAATATCCCTGGAAGAACAAAGTCCAAAGAATCACATGAAATAAATGCGTGTTAGCTTTGGTTATTATTTCAGGTCCTAAAATATGCTTGAGCACACTCATAGCAGCAAAGATGACAGATACATAAAGGCATTTTCCCGTGCCATTGTTTCCTGTTCTTCCAAAAAGCCTTCAAGCAGATCAAATCAGGATTTAGAATTTATAATCTTTTTGCAATAATCTGTTGCTTTGATATACAGAAGTATGTCCATGCAAATACTTCTGTGGGGATCAAATGTGTACCTAGACACAACATTGTTTGGGTCCTATATATCTGTAGGCTTCCTTTCTTACTTGTAAGTTTGGGCTGAATTGTCAAAGCTCACATAAAAGAAACCATGAAGATCTACAAATGGGGATATTTCTGGTAAAATGGGTCCTGGTGCTATCAATGTTTAACTAAATCTCTTTTCTTCATGAATGCGTGTGTTGAGGAAAGATAAAAAGAGAAAAGAAGCTACAGAAAGCACTAATGAGGCCTATAAAAAAAGTGCTAGTCTTCAATAAAAATATTTTGCAAGAAAATATACTAAGTTCCTCAAAGAGTAATAAAAACAAGGATGACCAATTTGATAGAAATATTTAACAATGATGCATAATGCAAAAAGAGTGGCTAGAGACAATTTTTCTCCATTTCCTAACTCTAGAATCATAACACTAGAACTTGACATTAAACAATTAAACTGATTGGCAATAGATTTTGGATGACAAGGAAAAATATTTCTTCCTGTAAGAAATACTCTTAACAGAATCAGTTGTTGCAAGATTTATTTATCCATAATAATGGCTTCAATCTGCTACATTCTTATAGACTGTAAATCAAAACACCACAACGAAGGCAAAAAGTAAACTTATAAAACTCCAAAATCAAGACTCATCATCTCATAAGGGTGGGTTAAACCTCCACAGCCCACATACTTTCCTGAATGGCCTTTCAAAAGAAGTAGGATTGCCTAATATCCAAGAATATGCTGCTCCAAATCACTCATTACCAAGAAGGCTTGCCTTCTCTTTCTGATCTCACCTGAGAAGGCAGTCTCATAAGTATGAAACCCTGAGCCATGAAAATGTGGCAATAGCCCACAGTTTAGACAGATTCAACAGAGAATGATTTCCTGATAGCATATTACTATAGTTCATGATTGAGGCATCTCCCCTGTCAGGTAAGTATGCTGGAGTTGGTGTTCTTAACATTAGAGGTAAATACAATGAACCAGGTATGTTGCTACAGACTGTATTTTGATTAATATTTTCATAAAATATATTTTGATGTTTTCTTGATATACAAAACATTTCTGTTTTCATCTCTCTACCCAGCCTCCTACAATTCTTCTGGAGGAAAGAGAAACATTAGGAGAAACTTCTAATGTTTGGCAGCAGAATCTTAGAGCAAATGTATTTTCCATTGCTGGAAATATTCTAGAAAAGCTGAAAGCTTTTCCTTTAGCAGGGGATTGGATAGAAGACCCTTCCACAGAGTCATTCTTATACATAAATGAACATTCCATTTCCCCTGTTATTTTCTGCCAGGAGTTATTACCTACACAGCAAGTCATACCTGACATCCTCCAATTCGTAGAAAACATTGCGGGATTCGTCTTTGATCAGAATGGCAGTGTTTGGTGACTTAAGCATCCCCATTGTCAACTTCTGAGGAAACATGTGGACAATGAGGGCATGCAGAGTATCCATACTACTGATTTCGTGGGTGATATGAACTCTCCTTGTCTCATCCCCAAACTGCAAGAAAAGGATGCCTGAGGAAATGGAGAATAATAGGAAAAGATAATAGAACAGGGAAGGAAACAGATCAAAAGATGGAATTGTTGAGTGACTCATAACTATAAATTTTATAAATTTGTTTACCGCAAACAAATCTATTTTAAAAAAATAATGTTTTGTGAATTTTGGAAGCTAATAAACTAATAAAAATAATTGTGAACAAGTAAATTAATATAGCTAAGCTTTTTGAATTTCACTCAAAATACTAGTGTCCTGGGAATAGCATGGCTTGTTCTGCTTGGCAGTCATTCTCTAAGACAACCTTCTCAAATCTGGAATCCTCTGATTAAGATGGAACATAGTTTTCATTATCTCTTACAGAATGTCTTATGTTAAAGGTCAGAACATCCAGAGAAGGCTAGAGTAAAGTTTTATACCAGGGTCTTTCCTAGATTTATAAGCTAATATGTTTTAAACTAGGGACGTCAATATTTTAACCTTAACCCTATCCTTTTTCCCCTAAAAATATCTCAGGCCCTTTCTCCAAAAATCAGATTATTATGTTGTGAGAGGAGTGGCCATACAAATAATTTAAATAAATAAAATGAACATGCTACAGATTCATTTAAGATGCTTATATATGCACTGTAAGTGGGGAAAAAATGCTTATACAGAAACATCTCCTTTGAGCGCTCCACAAAGAAAACTCCAAAAAGGTAACACAAAAACTGCTTTCATTTAAAAGAAAAATGACATCTCCTGCCCAAGATCAGGATCCCCATGAAAATGAGAAATGCTTGGGTAGTTCACAAAAAATTTACCTGGTGACCGAAGTTTTGTTTGGCTGGTGGAACGCGACAATGGGAGGCTTTGCCTAAAGCGGTTCATTCTGTTGAACCCAATGGGCAGTTCGGCTTCAGACATGGTTTCCAGAGATTCTGCTGAAGCAAAGGAAAGTTTGGCTTGATCAGCCAGGCCAGGCTGAGAACCCTGTGAATGCCGAGAGCTTCGGGTCTAAAAACACAAATAGAGAGAGAGGGGGAGGGGGGGAGGTGTGACATTAGGACAGATATTTTCTATCACATTTCCAGAACATAGACTTAAACATGTTACTGTCTCTCATCATTTTGATATAGCCCAAATGTTCAGCTACTGTTCTGTTACAGAAGGAATCCTCCTTTTGTAGGAGACGAAGAAGTTGCTCAGGATTAAATATGAGTTGGCAGGAGAAGGTTGTGTCTCTAGTTTGTATCTGTCATCTTCTTTGTAAATTAAGTATGACAGCGAGCCCTGCAAAACAACAACCTGTTGGGAATAGAAACTGCTCTCAATCAAAACAGAACCAGGCCCAGTGATGCTCTTACAGCATTCAATTTGCCATTCATATTTGGAAGGCAGAAGGTGTGGCAGAGCGAGTCTTGTAAGAAAAAAAAAAAGACTGGAAGACAAATGGAAAAGTGTGGTTTTCTGAAATGGAAAGAAAAAACCTTATCGTGAAAATGTTTTTGGTTTCTTGCAACAAAACACAGCATAAGAGCATTTGTGGGAGACAAAGTGTGGGCAGACTTGTACCACAAGCAACATAATCCTAATGACAATGGATCTTAGGATTTGGCAACAAAAGAAAATATTTCTTTTTCTTTAAACTAAGAAGCAATTCATTAAGCCAGTGCATTAATAGAAGAATCCAAACAACAAATTTAAAAAGTCCATGTTAATATCTAAACAACTTTGGCTGCAGAGCTAAACAGGAACAACATGATTACAATCTGTATGGGGCCCACTAGGCCTGGAGACTAAAACATATGAAGAATGGCTGCAGGACTTGAGTTTGGCTAGTCTAAAGAAAAGAAGAAACAGGGATGACATCATAGCAGTATTCCAGTATTTGAGGGGCTGCCACAAAGAAGAGGGGATCAAACTATTCTCCAAAGGACCAGAAGGAAGGGCAAGAAACAATGGTTGGAAACTGATCAAAGAAAGAAGCAACCTGGAATTAAGGAGAAACTTCCTGACAGTGAGGACAATTAATCAGTGGAACAGCTTGCCTCCAGAAATTGTGGGCGCTCGATCACTGGAGATTTTTAAGAAGAGGCTAGAAAGTCACTTGTTTGAGATGGTATAGGTTCTCCTGCTTGAGCAGAAGGCTGGACTAGAAGATCTCCAAGGTCCCTTCCAGCTCTATTCTATTCAAACACTAGGAAATCCAAAGACCAGTGTAGTTTCTGTCCCATGCCTAGATCTGAAACTAGATTCCAAGGGTCCAGACAATCCAGAGTCCTCTGCAACTTCAGGCTCACCAATTTCTCAAACTTACCCACAAAAAGGGAAAATTGGACAAAGAATGAAGTCTTCCACTTTTATTATACCCAGGCCTGGCTTCTTAAGAAATACCAATGCCTCTGGTAGGTCCCCTTCTCTTAAAAATGTGTTGACTACAGTGTGGATCTAAGTTCAAATTCCCTGCCTCACTGCTTAGAGAGGTTGGGCAAAAATCCAATCCACAATTAACAACTAATATAAGAATATTGTGTCCCTTTTCTTGGGATCCACAGGCTCAAAAGCTTCACAGAATACACCCAGAATGTCATCCCTATCATCTCAATAGATTCTGCCCATTTAGATCTAACTTGGAGCAGAAGCAAATTATTTTATCCACGAAAAGCTTAACCAGATTACTGCATATTACAATGACTGGATCTTCTGGCTCATCCCTCCTAAAACTGTCTGGGTATTTTAAAAGCATAATTAGCTAATATTCCATAGATGCAATAAAGGAAAAGTAATTATGCCCTTATTGCTATAACGAAAGCTCATATTTAGGCTTAAATTATATCTAGTCTCGTTTTCTTCTTGTTTTCCATCAGTGCCATTCAACCACATCATTTCACAGACTGCTTAAGTAAACCAAGGAATTGCACAGGATTGGTGGATGCGCAGAGGCCAGTGCCCCAGTTGCCTCTGTATTCCAGTGGTCAAAAAAGCATCTAACAGAAACACCAGCCAACAGATGGCTGGGAACTCCCCAAGCGGTAACAGAATCTTCGTGGATCCATCAGATGTCAGTAGTGGACATTGAATACGTTCTTCCTTCCTTCAGAAGGTGGCAACGAGTCAAAACCATTATCACAAGGAAGTGATCTGTCCATGACAATGAACCGGTGGAAAAGTCCCTCCCAAAATAGATACCAATATATTTGCTCCAAAGTGAATGCAAGATCTAAGACATACTATGTGCACAAAGGCCAGTGATGGCCTACGACAAACACATGATTGCCATGGATGGGAGATTGCAGTCACCTTGTACTCTCTGATGTTATTGTGAATCCAGAATCTTATAATGATTGTGATATGACAAAATATAAATATATAGGGAACAATCCTACTACCTAAATTTATTTAAATTGTTTTAAATGGAATATAATCAAATTTATTCCTTCTGTTTATCTATTTGTCTAGTTGCATTTATTATTTTGAATATGATCCATAGCGTACTTGCTCAAAGGTGGAACATAGCTTCAATCTGAAAAAAGTTGTACATCCCTTATTTAGAAGAAATTTATAGTCCATAAATAGAAACCTTGCCAAAATATTTTTTCTGAAAACCACAGAATCAGTGTTTTATTCCAATATCTAACATGGAAGTAGAATTTGGATGCAGTTATAAACTTTAATCAATTTAATTGATATACAAGCACTTTACTTAATTAATAGTGGTTGATTAATTTTAATCAGCAGAGCTCTACATTAACAATGCTTGTTTAATTTTAAGTCTATTTTCATTCTGCTATATTGCTACATATGGAATGAAATACAAGTTATTAAATATGCTATTCGCACAATACCTTTTTTATAATTTTATGGTACATGCTTCCTTTAATATCTAAAAAAAAGTACAATTTATTGAGCTTTGGCTTGTATGCAAATGTACATAAATTTAGTCAACTAGATGACTGCTCTATTAAAGGCAAGTGATTAATCATGAAAGATGTTTTAATTGGTCAATAGCTTCCACTGGAATGAGCTTCTGCCAGACTTGACAGACCAGCTCAATTAATCTAGTAGTCAAGCATTCATCCAATTTGTTCCTCAAGCTCCCCAATGATGAAAACAGTTTTTATGCAGGCATGTGCAGTGTCCTTGGCAATCGGTTCTAGCACTGTATCAGTATTAAATTAGATTTATATCCAATGTTCTGATTTCTTTCCTTGATTACTTTTTTATTTCTATAGTTTCTTTCCTTTTCACTATGCTGCCTTCTTCATTTGTTCAAGAGCAATAGCAATAGCACTTAAACTTATATACCACTTCACAGTGCTTTACAGCCCTCTCTAAGTGGCTTACAGAGTCAACATATTATCCCTCAACAATCTGGGTGTCAACTCTACAATGAGCCTGGCTGTAGCCATCTTTCTCTTCATTCTAGGTTGCCACACAGGACAGAGGGAAGGGGGCTTGCCCAGGTGCTTCACTAATCATACTAATCTTCTGTCCCATGGGAACCAAGATCATCTACTGCTCCCGTGATCAGGGTCTGGGCATTGTATTAGAAAGCCTGCCAAATGCATTTAATGGGGAACATAGTGATAGCATAGTTTTGTAGGTGGGACATTATACTTGTAACTGGGAAATTTTAGTGAAAATTTCAGACTTGGTTTCACTTTTGATCGTGCCAATACTTTGTAACTAATAAACATGTTCTTTGAGGAATTTTCAAGCCTCGGAGTTCTGCTTTATTCATCTCTGTCTGTTGGAACCATGACATTAAACCAAGTCTCCTAAAACTTGGGCCCCAATTGCCTATCCATCTTTTGGGAGAGTGGTGAGGACTCAGCAAAGATTTGAAGATGGAGGAAAAGAATGGAGTTGTTGCTGGCTACAATGGAACTCTGGCTGTCAGAGCGCAAGCAGCCACCAAGGAGGCATCATAGGCTCAGCCAAAGTTCATGTTGATCCAACCTGGGAAGCTGGTACCGCAGGGGGAAACTACAGTCCTGGTGGACCTATATCAAACTGAGATTGCCCCTCAGCACAGGAGCACTCCTTAGCCACTGAAGAGGAACTCCTGTTTTCATCCACAGCATACCAGAAGGGAAAGGGATCAATTGGAGGGGATGACTCCAGAGACTGGAAGTTCCATTCTGCAGTCCGTAGCCCCCTGCTCAAGCAGCTGAAGGAGAAGTTCAGCAGGCTGGAAGTAAAAGAGATATTTCCCATCACCCAGGATGTGTGTGCCATGGGGGGGGGAATGTCAAGGGCTACCCATCTCTTCCCCCCCCTCACCAGAGTCCCAGCCCCACTGCTGGAGCCTGTACCACCTCACCTGTTTCCCAGCCAAGCTCTGTGATGTCAAGCCCTGTATCCCAGCTGAGCCCGCTGCCATGGCCTCAGATTGCCAGTCCAGGAGCCCGGCCAAAGGAAGTCCAGTAAGTGGTTCAGCTATGTCCCCAGGACCAACAAGCAGCCCAGAAGCAAGTCAAGTAGCCCTCCTGAAGTTTGAGCCACTTCCCATCAAGCCCAACTTTGATGGGGACCCTGAGAAGCTATCCTTCTTCCTAAACCAAGTATGGGCTCATCTAGATCGCTATGCTTATGCCTACTTGGATGTTGCTATGATAGTGAATGCTGTGATGGCTAATCTAGAGGGAGAAGTGGCCAAGTGGGTGACCAACCTCCATGATGAAGAGGGTCCTGAACTGCAGGATGTTGGAGCAACTGAGAGGCTGTTTTGAAGATGAATCCCAGACCCTGCTGGCCGAGAAGGAGATCCATTGTTTGAAGCAAAGAGGAATACATTTGAGAATTCAGAAGAGTTGCTGGTTGGCTGGGGCAGTGGCCAGAACGATCGTTGATCAACTACTTCAAGCAGGGGCTAGACTGTGACTTATTCCAAGCCTGCATCTATCAGGGCATTCCCAACCAATTGGGGGAGTGGTACAGCATGGCAATGACCCTGGACATTGAATTGAACCACCCCAGATAGCCAAGCACAGCCGAACCCAGGCCACCACATG